TGCCAGTGTACAGACAGAAAGGCCATCCAAAGGAGTACTGGGATTCCTTGATGCAGTCCATGCTACAGCTGGTGGTTGGGCAGGGGTCCCATAATCATTGCTATCACCCAGAAAATATTGGGCAAAGTAGAAAGGAAAATGTGTTGAGAGGCAATGTTAAGAGCTGCTCTGCCATAGCAAGGAGGATACCTACTGGTCCAGTAACCACACTGGGGCAAGGCCCCAGAGAATCATAGAGTTCGAAGGGACCTGAGAGTCATTGAGTCCAACCCTCTGCAATGCAGGAAACTCAGCTAAACCATCCATGGCAGATGGCCATCCAACCTCTGCTTAAAAACCTCCAAGGCAGGAGAGCCCCAAATTTCCCGTGGGAGACTGTTCCACCGTCTAACAACCCCTGCTGCCCCAGTAGGGAACTGGGCTTGCAGCCCCCCAGGGCTGACCCTCCCATTAGGCGGGAGCTGGGAGTCCCTTGGTCTGCCTGCTGCTGCTGTATCCCCGCATCTGCACTCAGCACCTCCTTGTCAGCCCCCACTTACTTCGTGGCTGTTTTTCCACCACTGATGCAGCCTCTGGCTGCTGCTCCCCCCCACCCCACAGGCCCACAAGCGCGGCCAGAGAAAGGAGTGAGCCATCTTCTCAGGCTGGGTGGAGCCTGCTGTGGAGGGGGGGTGGCGGTCTCTCTTCTGACTCCTCTTCCTCATCTGGCTGGCACCGCAGCAAGAGGTGCTACATCACTCAGTCCATCAGCAGAAGCACAGCAATAAGCAGAGTCCATAACCGCCAACATTTCTCAGACGAAAATAGGGATGTCCCATTCCATAAAGATAATTTTACTATTTATACCCCACACATCTTACTGGGTTGCGCCAGCCACTCTGGGCAGCTTCCAACATACTGTATTTTTTGCTCACTTTTTCCCTCCTAAAAAGTAAGGGCAAATGTGTGTGCGTCTTATGGAGCGCATGCAGGCTGCGCAGCTATCCCAGGAGCCAGAACAGCAAGAGGGATTGCTGCTTTCACTGCGCAGCGATCCCTCTTGCTGTTCTGGCTTCTGAGATTCAGAATATTTTTTTTCTTGTTTTCCTCCTCCAAAAGCTAGGTGCGTCTTGTGGTCTGGTGCATCTTATAGAGCGAAAAATACAGTATATAATAACACTAGAAAATATTAAACATTAAAAAAAACTTTCCTATACAGGATTGCCTTCAGATGGCTCAGGGGTTGGATAACTCCATACCCTCCAAGCTTTCTCCAATGAAAATAAGGACATCCTAAGGAAAAGTGGGACATTCTGGGATCAAATCAGAAACCAGGACGGCTTCTCTAAATCAGGGACGTCCCTGGAAAATAGGGACACTTGGAGGGTCTGCGAGTTTCTCCTCTCCCCACGCACAAGCAAATGCTGCCTGAAGGGAGAGGCTGAAGGAGAACTTGCAGAGCAGTCTGCCCCAAGTGTGGCTCTGCTGGCCCTGTGCTGCTCACCAGACAGAGGTCACCAGGTGGCTAGGAACATGCAGCACAGCATGTGTGGGCTCTGAGCAAGCCTGCAGCGCACTGAATGTCTTGGCACCACTGCTGCCGTCCCATCTCGTGAGATATAATAATAATAATAATAATAATAATAATAATAATAATAAACCAGACATTAGAAACTTCTCTAAACAGGCTGCCTTCTGATGTCTTCTATGAGTCAGATAGTTGTTTATTAATTTGCTGTTTGTTTCCTTGACATCTGGTGGGAGGGCGTTCCACAGGGCAGGCAACGCTACCGACATCAGCTGACTTACTTCCAGCCGGGAAGCCATTCCCATTGAGTTCAGCCTGACATGGTTAGCACTGTGTAGCTGGTCGCTTTGCAGTGGGGCAGCTGAAGGCGCCTGATGAAACAATGTCTTGCTGTAAAGAGCTTGTGCCACAATAAACTGGGTAGTTTTCACTGCACCAGAGCAGACTCCTTAAATAGTGACAGGCAGAAATATGAGCCTCTTTCTACTCAGAACATTACATCAGCTCCTCTGGGGTCCGGGAGCTTCCTTCGCGTGGCCCATTCAGGATGCCTCCCCTCACCCCCGCTTGATGTTTGAAGGCAGCCTCAGGCCATCTGCTCCATGCCTGGGAGAGGCGCTCATCACAATCAACTCCTATGTTAGGCATTGATTTTCAGGCTAGAAAATGTTGCCTTCACACCACTTTCTCTAAACCAACACTGCAATCCTATAGATACTTGTCTGAACTCAATGGGACTTACTTGTGAGTAGACTTGCAATTGCTGTTAGAATGTATGGATGACTTTGCCCATGAGCATTAATTTCAAAGGGATTTAACTGTTATTACTCCACTCCCTAGAGTGGCTGGGAAGGCCCAGCCAGATGGGCGGGGTATAATAAAATTAATTATTATTATTATTATTTCTGAAGCATATGGAAAAAGTAACATTTAATATTGGAAGTGAAGTGAAAAGAGATCTGGCTGACAGCCCAGTTCTAGGTTATATTCAACTCATAAATGGGTCCCTCCGATTTTTTACCTCCATTTGAATGTGCATAGAATTCTGGCATACAAATCTAATCATTTCTAATTCTTCTTGCCCAGAAACAGCCATGTCCACCTTTAACATGCCTGATGAAGCTTCGTTAAATCTTTCGAGTCTATTAAAGGAGTATTTTATTGAGATCAATAATGACACGGCCTACACTATGTTATATCACTAATCAATATTTTCCCGAGGTTTCAAGTGACCTAATTTGGTGAATGCCACTGTTGCATGCTAGGTAATAGTGCTAAATGTCAGTGTTATATGTGGTTATACTGATAAATTATAGAAACTGTATATAATTATGAGTGACCAGGCTATATATGCTGTTTTTCTTTTTTTTGCAGCTCATGAATGTTAATTTGTCATTCCTCCTCAGTTTAAGATAAAAAACAATGCCGAGTAGTGTGTGCAATTTAGCATTCAAAAGAAAGGTTGATTCTAATTGTGGCAGAGGAAATAATTAAAATAAAGAACCAAAAAATTTAAAAAAACCTGTTGCATGCAAGCGAAGATTCCCCTTCTTCCCAGGTGCACACTCCAGGCACCCAGCAGGGAAAGAGACAAATCTCTCCCCACCAACCACTGTCTTCCTTCCTTACTGCAACTATTTTTTTACACACACCTAAAAATTCAAGAACTGTGGCATCACAATTGTACCGTAGCCCTATCAGTGGTTACCAGGTTTCAGAAATCTATAAATGTAGAAGAAGAAGAGTTTGGATTTGATATCCCGCTTTATCACTACCCTAAGGAGTCTCAAAGCGGCTAACATTCTCCTTTCCCTTCCTCCCCCACAACAAACACTTTGTGAGGTGAGTGGGGCTGAGAGACTTCAGAGAAGCGTGACTGGCCCAAGGTCACCCAGCAGCTGCATGTGGAGGAGCGGAGATGCGAACCCGGTTCCCCAGATTACGAGTCCACCGCTCTTAACCACCACACCACTACACTCTCAGGTAACCACCCCTCCACCATTCCTCTAAGCTAGGTGTTGAGGATGTTTATAAGAGGATTGTCCCATTTTATCTCACAGAAAACCTGCAATGTAGACTAGGCTGAGACACAGAAAGTAGCCCAAGTTTGCCCATTGAGCCCCACAGCCCAGAAGATATTTGCCTGTCAGTTTTTCTGGTCCCAAGTGTGACACTGTATTCACCAGACCACACAGAAGCCCCAAAGCCTCGGAGCAAGTTAATGCTCGGACCAGCTGGTAACACACAAGCTGCCAGGTGTGGACACTTTTGGCCCAGCCATGGAATCTCTGTGCAGGGGTTCTTTTTGTGTTTGCATGGGGGAGGCAGGGTGGAGGGAACGACAATGCAAGCAGCAAGCTTCTGTGCCCCTAGCTGATGCAGAGGGGTTGTGCAGAGGCTCCATCTGAACGTTCCCCGTTGAAACCTGCAGCTCTGTAACTGGATATGTGGAGGAGGAAAGGTCTGCTACCCAACTCCTGAGTGCAAAATGAAGTAGAAAAAATGGTCGCCTGCATAGGCATCAGTTTGTTGCAATCTTTGGTTCTCAAATGCTGCCTCTACTCACGCTGATGCCCATAAGGCATGTCCGCCATGCTACTGTCTTTGACTGTTGCCTAAAAGACTCAAGGCAAATAAAAAAAGAAACTGATATGGGCATCAATGTGAATCTGCCTTATCTAATTCACCCTCCATTCGGTCTGCCTTACAAAAAAAGAAAAATTAAAATGTGGTTTTCACAAGGATCACAACTTCAAAAATTAATAAAAGAACAGCTTTTTGGATTAGAAAGGTATCTTTGTTGATTGAGAAAGCTGCCATAAAACAAGTTTACATCACTTACTTTCCTTCTTGCTGAAGAACTCTTTATAAAAATCCAAAGACACAAAAAAGAGGAAAGTAATAAATCGGTTATAATAATTAAAAGCTCCCATCAGGATATGAAAATGGGAAAAGGAAACCAGGTGTATCTTTTCAGGTGAGTCATTAATCCACCAAATGATTGGCATGTTGTAGATTTGCTGTTGCTCATTTCTCTCTGTTTACAACCATTGACAACTCCTGGCTCCCAAACTGGTTAAACATGGCAGACTGTGCCACTTTCCTTAGTGGGAGGCAGACTGGTGGCAGGAGATGCAAATAGGTACAAAAGGACAGAAGGGGCTCAGTTACTGCTGTCACAAATGCACTAGTGGCTTCGTAAAACTGGGGGGCACAGTGATATTCCTCAGTGGGATCTCTGGGTAAATGGAAATGTGTGGGCCTTGTTCCTAGAAGAAATGTTGCAGAGCCCTCAAGCATCTTCTGGCTGCCCTCAGCTTTCCCATCCAGACCAGCAAAGTGATTCAGAAGGCAGACAGATAGATGCAAAGACATGTATGGTACGATAAAAGATTTCTAAATGAAATTCTCTCCCATTTGCAAAGCTTTTGTAATAAATATAAACAATTTCACTCCCTTCTGTACACAAGAGAAATAAAGTGAGGATTCAGCTAAAAGAGAATAGTAGTCTTTAGTATGTTGAGCTACAGTTATTTTTGATTTCCCCATCATTCTTTCTCAGACGTAGTTGATATAGAAATGTTTCAAAGCTGTGCATACCAAAATTGTGAGCAGATGAATTACATGGAACCACAGCCGTCATAAGCAAAAAACTTTTCACAAGAAATAATTCATTTTTTAAAAATACATAATAAGCAAGAGGCCATACAATCATATATCTTCATTAGGTTGTACTATACAACTTTCCGTAAGGCTTTGTCAGTGTAGAATCTCCTCAATCACCATTGGGAATTCTTTTTTAAAAATCACCTGTCACTCAAGAGAATCATTGACTAATCCTGTCTACTGCAAAGGAGGGGCCCTTTCCCAAGGTCAGTCAAAGGTGGTTGTTATTGAAGGATGTGGTGATTGCACATTAAAGAAACCTAAACCAGATTCTTGCCTGTTTAACTGCCAAAGGAATCCAAGGATGCTTTTAAGCATATAAAGAGCTATAGTCAAGCTGCAAAGAACTCCTCCACATAGAACTGCCATTTCCAATGTTCTTGGGGAAAGTTCTGTTGGTTAAACCAGTTTATAATTCACTAAGCAGAACTCCACTGGTGGAAACTGCATTGTAAGAAACCTCAAGCCACATGCCGGAGCTGAGACAGCACTTTCACTCAACCATAGCTTTCCATCACTTAAAGGTGTATGACTTGGCCCCAGCTTTCTCCATTTTAGAGAGGTGTAAATTTCAGGTGATCTATATGACCCATGTCCCTGAAGAACTGACTTTTGCCTTAGCTGCCTTCCAATTGGCTGAACAGAGATAATGAGAAAGACCTTTAAAGAAAAGGACTGTGCAATGGACTCTAGGACTGTGCAATTCTGCAGCTCTTTCTGCACACAGGACTATTTGATCTCTTAATTTCCGCCTCTCATCTTGGGAGAAAACTGCTTCACAGATATCCTTCAGAACAGTGTTCCATTGGGAAATTGTAAAGGAGAAGAGAAGAATTCAGCAGTATGTTGTGTTTTACACGAAATCTCCAAGATCAGTACTTCTGCAGCAGCCTATATGTCAGAAACAGAAGCAAAAAAAGTCTAAAATCTGGTTCTAATTCCCTACTGCAATGCTTATGTCTACATACGTATAGCATCAATATGTCACAGGTGGAACAGATGTGGCATGAGGACTTCAGGTCAGCAGAGTCAAATGGAAAGGTCTTTCTTCAGATCTCAGCAAGAAATTAACTAAGGATTCCTGTGCCTTATGATACTCCTCTCTGACAACTACAAGGATGAGAATATGAGGAGTTTTTAAACATTATTGTTACGTACTTTTACACAATCATCATTATGTGCCCTCAGCACACAGAGATTTGAAGGTGCTGGCACAGATGGCAGGCAACTGAAACAGGCAAATGTGGTTTTCTCTCAGGTGCTTCCTATGCTCCAGGTTTCTTGCTCTCTGCAGGCAGATCTACACTACAAATGTGTACCAGCTTTAATCTTTTTCAACAATCATGTTCTCTCTACCCTCCCCCGAAGAATCCAGAAAACTGTACTTTAGTGAGGAAGCTAAAATTATCTGCTAGGGCTAAACTTAAAATTGTGGGAGCCATTGCAGCACGGTCCTGTCCTGCATCAGGCAGTAATACTGGAACCCACCCCTTGAGATACCAGAATCAGCCCTCCCAGGAACTGGAGCCATTGGGGGAGGGAAGGAACTGCGATATCGATTCCTCAAGCATTTGATATGACTGAGCCATGGTGCAGCAGCTCCCATACAAGGTAGCATCCGATGGGACACTGAGAAATTCCTAGCCTTCCCCACAGTTCCCTGAATTCTCTGGGAGAGGAGGTGACTGTTAAACCATTTTAAATCTATAGTGTAGATTCACCAAAGTGGAAACGTTAAACCATGCATTAAAATAACAATCATTGACACTGTATGTGAGTACAACATCCTTTCTAGGAAATTATCTATGCAAGAATGCTAGAGAAGAACGGTCTCAGGCTTTAGGATTGCTTTGCTGTTCTCAGGAGAGAAGTATTTACATTCTAAAGGGCTTCTAAAAAAAATATAGAAAAGTGGTCCCTGTTTCCACAGGTATTTCTGAACACCTCCAGCCACAGACAAAGAAGACAGGTGGTGACTGACAAGCGTGAACCTCTTAAATTATACTCTTAGTTTAGATGGATACAAGAAGGGCAAATTCACAGTAAACCAATATTAAAAAGGCCTTTTCTGAAATGCTGTGGCAGCTCCAGTCCTAACAGTTGCTCCTCCGGTTGTGCTGATCTTTTTTAAAAACTAGATTTGTTCAAGAGTCTGCAAGAGAGCTCTTTTCTTCTTGCTGTAAAAGTCTTCCCTCCCCCTTTCCCCAAGCCATCGGCTTTTCTTTCTGCTTCCAGTTTCAGATCAGCCACTCCTTTTTGCTCTCGTCAATGGTCTCAGTAAAATTGGGGTCGTTGCTCATAATGGCTGCGTCAGCGCTCTCTGCAGATTCTGCCCCCTTGGCTTCGTTGGTGTGGTAAGTTCCCTTGTGGCGGAACATGTAGCGAATGAGGAAGACCAGGGTGCAGAGGATGGTGAAGATCACAACGGCAATGACACCTAACAGAGAGAGAAAGGCGGAAGGTTTCAGATTCAAAAACAAATGAGCAAACAGTTTAGATTTCATATACTGTCTGATATGACATGGGTACAATATTGTCTCTGCAACCTCTCTCATGGTAACAGAGAAGGCCTCCCGTCTTATTGCTCCATTCTTCACGCATGTCCATTAACTGGCAAATAGTTCAGTGGGGCTTGTGCAGCTGACACTACAGAGTGCTGCACTTCATGCCACAGGGCCTAATTGGAAGAGCTGCTTCATGACACCCTTAATTCTAACTATAGTGTGGCATAGGCATTGGGGATGTATCCTGAATCAACCAGCTCATTTGCTGGCTGATTACTCCATCACAGTTGATCCTGGGTTAAGGATCCCCCCAAGATGCAAATCAAATAGGGCAAATCTGCCAGGTTGTCATTTGGGGAGATCTATGGCCCATTAACCACCATCTGGGCCATTGGACAGAAACCTTCCCTCGCAACGCCTTCACTGGGGTACCCTGAAATTTGAACCTGGATAGCTCACTTTTGCCATCTAGTGTCACATCTGTTTGTTGCGCTTTACAACACATTTAAAACATTTTATTTGCAGCTGTATAGCTGAGTCCCCAATGCCTGTTTCTGCCAAACGTTTTGACAGTTGCTATGAGGAAGGCAAAACCCCCAGACAGGCCCAACTTGTCTGCAGGCAAATTCCTCCCTGGCCCCAAACGCAGCGGCAGATTGGTTCCGCAGCAAGGCCCACGTCCCTTCGGACAGAGCAGCAACCTACAGGGCTGGTGGGTGCGATGCCCAGCACAGCCAGTTTACATGCTGAATGTAGCAGGATATGCCATCAGAATTCAAACTACCTATCACATACTGCTTCATAATTAAATGTCTTTATTTCCACTTATTATGCACTCTGTCCTAACAGTTCTGGGAAACTAAGCACAAATATAGCTGAAAATTCTTTTCTCTTTGCTAGCTTAGCCTTGGAAATTATATGTGTGTTTTAAATTAGGTATTTAAAAAGATACTTGCAAACATCGTATCTTATCAGCATAGAAATCAACATTCCCTTCTGAAAGGCAGGACATGTACTTGCTTACCTCCAATAATAGCTGAATTCCTGTTAACACCACCTCCAATCACTTGACCATTGTAAGGAAGATCAGCACCTGGTGCACAAGAAAAAGCATGAGTTATTATTTACACCATGTCCTTTAGATATTTAGCCCCTCACTTTAAAATACCCGTGCTTTTCCTCTTCTTTTTAAGCCAATTTACAGGTGAAACTCGGAAAATTAGAATATTGTGGGAAAGTTCATTTATTTCAGTAATTCAACTTAAAAAGTGAAACTAATATATGAGATAGACTCATGACATTCAAAGCAAGATATGTCAAGCCTTTATTTGTTATAATTGTGATGTTTATGGCGTACAGCTGATGAAAACCCTAAATTAACGATCTCAGAAAATTAGAATATTAAATGAAATCAGCAAAACAAGGATTGCAAATAGAGAAATATTGGACCTCTGTGAAGTAGAAGCATGCACATGTACTCAGTACTTGGTTTGGGATCCTTTTGCATCAATTACTGCCTCAATGCGGCGTGGCATGGATGCTATCAGCCTGTGGCACTGCTGAGGTGTTATGGAAGACCAGGATGCTTCAATAGCAGCCTTCAGCTCTTCTGCATTGCTCGGTCTCATGTCTCTCATCTTTCTCTTGGCAATGCCCCATAGATTCTCTATGGGGTTCAGGTCAGGCGGGTTTGCTGGCCAATCAAGCACAGTAATCTCATGTCCATTGAACCAGGTTTCGGTACTTTTGGCAGTGTGGGCAGTGACAAAGTCCTGCTGGAAAATTAAATCAGCATCCCCATAAAGCTCATCTGCAGAAGGAAGCATGAAGTGCTCCAAAATCTCTTGGTAGACGGCTGCGTTGACCCTGGACTTTAATGAAGCACAGTGGACCAACACCAGCTGATGACAGGGCTCCCCAGATCAACACAGACTGTGGAAACTTCACACTGGACTTCAAGCATCTGGCATTGTGAGCCTCCCCATTCTTCCTCCAGACTCTGGGTCCTTGGTTTCTAAATGAGATGCAAAAGCTGCTCTCATCAGAAAAGAGATTTGGGGAGCCATGTCATGGCTGGAAGTGGGGGGAGATTGCTCTCAGAGTTGTTGAGCTTTTTTGGGGGGCAGAGTTCATGCCGCGCTTAATTACGATTGATGCCTGCTGCTGCAGCGGAGGGACCTAGCGACAGGGGCGGTGACATTCCTTGACCAATCGATTTAATGCCGCAATCGACAAGGATCATCTGCGATTGACCACGATCACCCCGGGGATCTCACTGTCCATCGCGGTCGATCGGTTGAACATGTCTGATCTACATGAAACTGCTGGGTGGGGTTATCCGGAGGTTTGGAGTATGTTGTCAGCAGTATGCTGATGACACTCAGCTCTATTTCTCCTTTGCATCTGCAGGTGAGGCAGTGGAAGTGCTGGACCGTTGTCTTGCCTCGGTAATGGACTGGATGAGAGCCAACAAAGTGAAGCTCAATCCATATCGGACTGAGGCACTGTTAGCGGGTGGTTCCCTAGATCAGATGGGTGGGAGGTCGCCTGCTTGATGGGGTTACAGTTCCTCTGAAGGAAAGTGGTTCATAGCTTGGGGGTCCTCCTGGATCCTTTGCTGTCGCTTGAGGCTCAGGTGGCCTCAGTGGCCCAGAGTGTCTTCTATCAGCTTCAGCTGGGGGTCCAACTATGCCCCTATCTGGACATGGATAGCCTAGCTACTGCTGTCTGTGCTCTGGTAACTTCAAGGCTAGATTACTGCAATGCATTATATGTAGGGCTGCCTCTGAAGATGGTTCAGAAACTTCAGCTGGTGCAGAATTCAGCAGCCAGGTTGCTCACCGGAGCGAGACGGTTTGAGCATCTTACACTGATCCTGGTCCAACTGCACTGGCTACCAAACAGTTTCCGCGCCCAATTCAAAATGCTGGTTTTGAATTATAAAGCCTTAAATGGTTCAGGACCACAATACCTGATGGACTGTCTCTTTCCATATGAACCTAAGTGGACCTTGAAATCATCTTCCGAGGCCCTTCTTCGTGTGCCTCCTCCTCGAGAGTTCCGGAGGGTGGCAACATGGGAACGGGCCTTCTCTGCAGTGGCTCCTCGTCTGTGGAATGCTCTCCCCAGGGAAGTTCACCTGGCACCTTCATTATACACCTTTAGGCGCCAGGCAAAAATGTTCCCTTTTAACCAGGCCTTTGGTTGAACTTATTGACATCCAACACCCTTTTAGAATGTGGTTCTTTTGGGGGGGGGGGGGTTATTGGGTTATTGCTTTTGGTTTGATTTTATATGTTGTGGTCATGTTGTGAACCGCCCTGAGACCTCAGGGTATAGGGCAGTGTATAAGTTGAATAAAAATATAAAATTAGAAAGGCTGAAAATTAAAGGTTTTATTGAGGAACACTGAGGAACTAACTAATGCTTGGTTAAGAGCCTTGTCTATGAACTAAGAAATCCCTGATTAAAATCTCAGCTCAACAAATAGCTCCCTGGGTGGGGTCTTAGGTCAGCCATTATATTAACGCCACCACTTCCCTAAACAATAAAATAATACCTAAATAATACTCCCAGGACTACTCAGGACAGAATTCATTTATTCATTCATTTACAAATGTATAATCTGCACTTCCATAAAAAAATACAGCAAGGCAGAATGCAACATATAAAAATAAATCAACAAAGATATCAATAAAAGCACAAATAAATTCTTATTGTGCTAAGGAAACAATGTTTTAAAGGCCTGTTTAAACAGGCATTTGTTACAAATGAGACTCTGAGCAAATGTTTCCCTATTATTGGATTAAAATGCAGCAGAGCTATTGGGAACCAGAAAAAAGTGACCTCAAGTACCATATCTGGCTTGGAGGCCATTAGTCTGACCTGGACGACATTCCATAGGAACATGTCTCACTGCACATTTTACAGTGGCACAAACAGGATTCACCTTATGGAAATAACAGCAGGATAAAAATGACCACAAGAATCTGATCTAGTGTTCTGGAAATTAGAATCTTAACCAAAGGAATAGAGCAAAATCACAAAAATTGGAGATAAACTATAGCCGTTTCTTCAGAGCCATCTGTTCAAAGTGAAATTTTAAAACAGCACACCTTTTTGAGTCAACCTCCATCTTTCTGTCAGCACTTCCTCCTTGTTTCTTTTCTCTGACATTCCACAGATGTCAAAACTCTGCTTGACCAATCCCTAGCTTGATGCAGCTCACAAAACATGGCAATCTGCTAAGCTCCTCATCAAAACTTGTTCTGTTGCAGAAAACGTCAGTGTTTCTGGGATTATATTTGCAAACAAATGCTCCCTATTCTGCCTGTTCTTTGCTCCGTTATCAGACTTGCCTTCTAGACATGCATACTGCACACTGGCAGCCACCTTCTTAACTGTCAACAGCTTCCTGGCTAATTGCTTGGCTGTCCCTGCTCAGCCCAGCTCCTGGATCTCCCTAGCTCAGGATACTTGCAACAGGCAGGAAAAATATGAACCCAGTTCTCCTACTATGCCAAACTGGGTCTCCTTTTTATCTATGGTATGCCAATTTCCACAATTATTTTCCATACATGCTTCAACTCCTGTTCAGATTGCATTTTACCATGTCTTTATAGAGGAATCCTAGAAGGAGCTTTGCGGAGAGGATGGAGTGCTGGGTCCTCTGTCACATCTGAGGTCCTGCTGCCTCAGAGGCTATGCCCCTTTTCCATAGGCAGAGAGGGGCCTGTGTGCCATCCTAATCTCACCCCCTGGCACCAACACCAGGTGTTATGATTGAACCCTCAGTTTCACTAATTTTTGAAATTTGCAGGTCATGTAAGTCCCCATCTGGACACACACATCACTATGTAAACTCAAAATCCATACACTCCAGCTGTGTTTTGCTCTCATGCACCCCACATGTCAGCAACTCCCAATGGTGGTGGCCTGACACCGTCTCCTCGGAGCCTGGCTCTCGTGACCACCAGTAGCACCAACCAGCCAAGAAGGTAGCGGACTCAGGGCAAACTGTTGGCCATGAACAAACTGTCACCCTCAGACAAAGCAAAGTGCAAACCGATTTAAGTCAGGATCTTGTAGTTCTGAAGTGAGTGCTCCAGGTAGTCTTGGGTCTTAAAGCCAGTATGACATCAAGTAACATATTTTTTAAAGTTTAGGTTCTGAACTGAGGTTATTTTATTTTTATTTTTGAGAGCTAAGTGCTTGTCAGTCCTCCCAGTGGCTGAACATTAACTGGCCAACCCTCTGGAAGACAAGAACAGATTTACTTCTTGCAGAGCAACTGGGTGGAATATTGGCTGTCTGTTTCCCTTTTCATCTCTGGAAGTGAATGGACCATAACTTTACTTTCCTGAAACGTGACAAATGAATGGAGGCAGGGGATATCAGTAAGGGGCCCTGGTCAGCCACAGCTTCTGCCCTGGAAGTCACAATGCAGTAGATGTTCGTGCATAGCCAACAATGTCGTACATCAAATTTTCAAAGTGATATAGAGCACATTGTTCATATAGCACACCCCCTTTCCCCTTCTGGTATTGTATTTCACAACCTTGCTGCTTGCCTAGCTTGACCACAGAGAAGGATGGCTGATATACTGGTTATGCTTGCTTAAGTTATTGCCTCCAATAGAGTTTTATGAGCAGAGCTTACAATTCACCTGTTAAGGAGAGAAGAGCAAGCCCTCCACAATTAATGCAGAATATGAAATATGGCAGTGCTCTCCAAGGAACTGTAAAGCTGAATACTCACCAAACTCGAACACAAAGATATACAGTCACCAGTAATGGGCCCAAAGGATTGCCTGCTTTGGTGGCAGGAAAATGCTTTTATGGGAAAATTGTGCACATGAATCAGTTTCCAATGACAGGCCTTCTAGATGAGTGCTTCATGTAAGATATATGAAAGTGGGCATCAGCTTCCTTCTTTCACTGATCACAGCTGCAGTTTACACACATGGTCTCTTCATGAAGGAGTGAGCTGTGCAGAAAGGCAGTCCATGGAGGGCCGTTGCACACACAGTGCAGGGCAAATCCAGGTTGCCCATCAAGTGTATGTCAGCAGGGAGTAAGTTGCACCCAATGCTGTCTACCTGATAGCTGTACTTCTAGGGTGCACATTTGGTGTGGGGAGCTGGATCACCTTCCATGGGCCATTTTGACAAATGGACAGGGAAGTCATATGATATAGGGTGATCACAGTCCCCTTGTTTCTTTCTAACTCCAGCTTTAATAATAAAAACAAACTAGGACTGCAAAGGAAGATTCTTTTGCAAGGCATGGTTGCAAAAGATAAATTTTGTGCTGCTTTCAGCAGGGATTAGCTGCATTCAGGAGTTTCTCTTGCAATCTCTCCCAAGTGCAGTCAATCCCAGCAGGGCTTGCAGTCAAGGCTGAAAGCAAGTCCCGCTTGTGGTTCAGCTGCACTGCAGACTTCTCAAATGGAACAAATCCTAGTGGGACTTGTACTTGGTGCCAGATTTAAAATCCCTGCCAGCAGACCCTCCAAGTGTCCCTATTTTCCAGGGATGTCCCTGATTTAGAGAAGCCATCCCGCTTTTTGATTTGATCTCAGAATGTCCTTCTTTTCCTTAGGATGTCCCTATTTTTCATTGGAGAAACATTGGAGGGGATGGAGTTATCCAACCCCCTAAACCATCTGAAGGCAGCTCTGTATAGGGAAGTTTTTTTAATGTTTCATGTTTTTATAAATGTTGGAAGCTGTCCAGAGTGGCTGGTGCAACCCAGTAAGAGGTGTGGGGTATAAGTAGTAAAATTATCATTATGAAATGGGATGTCCCTATATTCGTCTGAGAAATGTTGGAGGGTATGTCCCAGTGAATTCAGTGGCAGAATACTAACTCTCTCTACTAATCTCTCTTCAGGCACATATATTTATATATTGCTTGTATTTATTTTAAATATACCCAGATTTCCAGAGGACCAAATTAGCTCAATTTCAGAAGGCTTGAAACAGCAGTTAGAGAAAGTGGCTGTTCGCCCCCCCCCCCGCCCCCGTTATAGCGTGTGTGAGAGAGGGCAAGGGAGACTCAGAGAAGCACCAAGGAAACAGCTATTACTCTGCCTTCTCCACACAGGCAGAATTTCTAGGAACGATCCTTTCCATGGGAGAGCTGCGCCTGCCTTTGCTTCTCCCCATCTTCCTGCTGCTCCATGGCATTAAAATTCTGCTCAGGGCTGCGCAGAGCAGCTTGAAGTGCCCGGGTCTCTTAGGGAGAGCTGCTAGAATTTATGGCTTTGGCTGGCAGCTGAGCCTCAACTGTCTGCAGCTTCTGATGAAGTGTCTGGGTGGAGTATATATTGCCATTAAGTTGGGCAGGAGGAGAAAGGGTGTGTTGCATCCAAGAACCAGGCAAGATTGAAGCTCTCTTTCCCTCTCCTTTCCATTAGGGAAGATTTATGGGAAATTCAAGCACCATCATTAAGTCATTTGGGATCCAAAGAACAGAGCTGCTAAAGCTGCGCCAGATGAAAAGAAATTGGGGCCAACCACTCATTAAATAATTTTAAGCTGATTCAACTCTTGCTTTTAAAGCAATTAATTAAATGGAGCTATTGTAAACTTTTCAGCACATATGCGCTTATGCTATACTGGATGGCATATGAAGGAGGAATGTAGAAAACTGCCTTATCCCAAAGGAGACCCCTGGGTCCATCCATGTGCTTTGCTGGCTGGCAGCAACACCCAGGAACGATTTCGGGAATTGGCCTGAAGGTTTTCTGTGTGCACAGCATGCACTATTGTGCATTATGCTCATTTTAGTAGGGCAGTTGGTGTTCACAGCTGTTTGTGGCTGTTATGCATCTTGGCTTTAACTTTTATTGAAATTTTATTTTGAGTTTTATAAATTACATAAACTATCCAGAGAGCAAATGAAATACTAGTGAAATAAATAAATAAATAAATAGGATCCATGGATGTGTTCCACCTTAATTCTCTGGTATCTAATTATTTCTACCCAGGGCAGCCAACATTCAGGACAGTTTAGCACAGAACATGGTTGTGGCTGGCATCTGTCTGTCTCTGGAGACAATGGAGGAAAGTGCCGTTGGGCTTATGAAATAACTGGGCCCAAACTGGATGTGCTGCTTGGTTTCTTGCAGCAGAAGACTCATGTGGAGGAAGGGGCAGGGCTGTCACACATGAGGAAAACCATGAGGAGGAAAAGCTAAGAAGCTCCTTCTACCACATGTGTCTTTTGCAGCACATTATTATGGCTGCATTTTTTTTAAAAAAACCTAAGATGATGATCATGACGACGACGATCTATTCCCCCCCTCCAGCAAGTGCCTTTACCTTGTTCTGCGGCAGAACCGCCCCCCCTCTCACACACATGCAGTTCATAAGGAAATATATGCTTCCTCAGGTATGTACTAAATTAACTGTAACGCCAAGTATTGTGGGAAAGGACCACAGTTCAGTGGCCTACAGAATGTCACTGATTCAATTGCCAACATCTCCAGCGAAAATGTTCAGGTGGAAGATGTCTGCCTGAGACGTTGGAGGGATACTGCCAGTCAGATTAGGCAACGCTAGGCTAGAAGCGGAGCTATTTATTTTTTATATTTATTTATTTCACTTATATGCCGCTTTATCAAAAGATCCCAGAATGGTGTGTAACATTAAAAACACATTATAGATAATCAATGGTGAAAACATAATAAAAAGCATACAGGCAGACAGCCTAGTAATAAAATAAGTCTTCTCTCTAAGCCACTTCACCTGAACATTGTTCAATTTTTGCACTTGAGAAAACAACAAATGCAGCTACTCCTTTGGAAACTGAAACCTCTAATAGTCCGTATGTGCTGGTTGCTTAAACCATGGCTGAAGAGGCTGCAGTGAGGTTGCTATCTATGTGGAAAGCAGAATCAGTTATTTTTGCTCTCTACATATTTAGCAATCTTTCTTTTTTTATTTCTTGGTGCAGTGTGTCTTTCACTCAAGTTTGTATAATGTATTCCTACACGAAAAAAGGCAGACGAAGAAGTTAAGGATAGGATAAATTTGTTTTTTTTTTAAAAAAGTATAGTTATTTTAAGAACAGCTATGGGAAATTTTGCATTGGTGTGTCTTTGAAATCTCTGTGTTTTCTACTCCATAAACAACAAAAACAATTGTGTGCTTGTATGCGATTTCCTGATGGTTTTGAATTTGATGACAATTAAAATCTACATGTAAAACCAATTATTATTTTAACTCATGATTCCTTTGCCTCCTCTACCTAAACACAGGACGCAGCTGGGGTTCTGAAGGGAAGACAGAGGCTGCTTGGCCCTTCCTACATCTTTGGAAAGGAAGAGGGACTGGCTGAGTCCTGCCGCTCCATCGCCGGCATGAAAAGTCACCAGAGCCAGCGGGAAAGGGGGGCAATTACAAAACAATATCATGCTTTGAGATAACCATTTGGAACTGCAGCAGAATATGAACATGGTCACAGAAGCCGTATTTATAAGGTCAAAATAGATGTTATCTCTGGAAATGTGAGGCTTCAGCCCTGAGATAACAGGGAATTTGGGGTGGGGATCCAGGGGCGCCTTACCCATAGAGGCTAGTGGCTCAGGGCACCAGGGCGCCAAGTTCTGGAGAGCGCCAGGTAAGAGGCGGAGGCTGGACGCGGGGTCTCCCGGCATCAGCTCACCGCTCTCGCCTGCCGTACCGCGCCAGAGCAGTGTCGCACCCGGAGCCTCCATCTGCCGTGGCCACCGTGGCACAAAGCAGCCAGCCAAGCTGGGAGGTGCCGCGTCCAGCCGCTGCCCGCTTCCTCCTGCCCCACCAGCAGCGCTGTCCTCACTAAAAATCTCTGGGAAATGGGGGGGGCAGGGGGCAGCGGAGGTAGCTATGCACCACAGCACCGGATATGCTTAAGACGGCCCTGTGGGGATCTGAGCTTGCCTGGGGGCAACAACCTCCTCAAAGGGCTTCCTTAGCTGACCTTAAGAAGCCTCCAGGTTTCTTCTGTGCCAGTGGTGCCTCTCTGCCCTTGCAGCAGCTCTCTAAGGGACTGTTGGCAGGGGGGGGGGGAGTCCCTCGTAATATTCAGATTGACCCTAACTCTAGCAGTGGATCTGGCTGAAAACTGATCTTCCACTTTTCATCATTTCCAAGGATTGTTCTGGTAAAAAGTACTATCATTATCAGCGCCAAGAAAGAAAAATCTATGCCAATTTTCTGAACTTGATTTCATCGCATTTACCAAAATTAGAAGCACCAGTAAAACAACAATTACATGCAAGACAATCCACAGGTCAATCTGCCACTGCTTCACACTGGAGGTTAGTGTCTTTAAGATAAATGCAGTAGTCATAAACTTATAGCAGCAATGAAAGAATAAACTATAATGGATACTCAAGCCATCAGTTTAGAAGCAATTGTGTGTGTGTGTGTGTGAGAGAGAGAGAGAGAGAGTGAGAGAGTGAGAGAGAGAGAGAGAGAATGTTCACTATTATTCTAATCTCACCATCATAACAGATGGTGAGTTATATTCTAACCATACATTCTGGAAGCAGCTTCAGGGGTCGATTTCAGGATTTTCTCATCCAGTCTCGACTTACCTGAATCGGAATGCCACGGATCCGTTGCAGAAGACATTGGTTGGATGGTTTGTGGGTTCGCACCACAGTTGGATTCCACAAGTTCTCCTTCTGTGTGGATGCGAGAGGAGATGTTTGTGGCTCTCAAGGCAGCCTTGAGTGGGGCAATCTGGTTGAACTGGACTCTGGACAGGCAGCCAGAGAATCCCGGGGTATTGTATTTTCGGATCTCTTGGTCAATTTTTCCAAGTTCTGGAGGACAGAGGAAAGGAAAGGCTTTTCAACAGAGTTCACTGAAGAAGGAACCAGCAGCATGATCCTGCTCCGTGCTTTTAATCTCCACTTTCAGAAAGTTAGGCACACGGCACTTTGTAAGTAGTCTATCATACCCTCCAAATGCCCTGATTTCCCAGGGACAGTCTCATAATAACGAAAGCCATCGGGCTTCTATTTTCCCCACCACTGCTGCCACCACTGAGCTCAGAGAGAAGGATGAGCCGGTGCTTGTCCTGGGCAGCAGCGAGGGAGTGTCCCATTGCCTCTCCATGGCTGCTGGCGGCCTCCTCCCTTGGGCAGCTCCTAGCAGCTGCTGGCCATCAGGTGAGAAGGACAGGCTGCCGCTGCCGAGGGGCCGGAGGAGGGCAGGGCTGCCCTGGTGGGGAGAAAGGCAGAGCAGAGCACAAAGAGTCTTTGTGCACTTGCCTCTAATCTTGCCCTTTTCTAATATTTATTTATTGATGTGCGCTTTTCTGTTTGTAAATCCACCAAAGAATAAAATAACATCAGGATAAAGGGGTTTTCTCAGGATGGTGAAGTGGGTGAGTGCTGTGGTGGAAGGACAAAAAGGGGGATCAGTTGGGGGGAGGGAGTTAGAAATGTCCCTATTTTCATCTGAGGAATGTTGGAGGGTATGGTATATACACCATATGAGCTGCTGCTTCTACCCATCACTTCCCTTGGGCTGAAGTTCTTAAACTGAACTTATGATGCCAGCATAGGTTCATGGGCTGAAAACCAATCTGTCCCTAAAAGCTCTTGTACCTGGCCCCCTCAGTCCTGGGGACTTTCGTTTTCTTGGAGTGCTGAAATAGTCACAATAATAGTCACCCATGCGGTGAACTCCCTTTTGCAACCTGCCTTTACACACGTGTTGAAACAGCTCTCATTCCTGCCAACCCTCCCGCTTCAGCCAGGCGCTCTGCTTTTTTTAAAAGCAGCACTTACATTTATCCTGCACTAGACAAATCAACCTGTGTCCGAACCCAAACAGCAATTTACAGGGTTTTTAATTTTTTTTTAAAAAAAAGAACTGCGAAGAAACACTGGGGATTGAGTGGGGAGGAAATGTGGTGTTATGGGCACAAGTCAACAGACTGGCCTTTCCCTGATCTGCTGGAAACGTAATAGAACTGTAGTCCCCTCAACTCTCTTGAGCTGCAATGGGAATATAAACCTAGGTCAAGACAGACACCTTCAAACCACTTCCAGCACTTCTTCACCTATGTTTGTAGCAAAGGCATTCTCCGGGGATATGTGTGTGTGTGTGTGTGTGTGTGTGTGTGTGTGTGTGTCTTCTCCTATTGAAAATTGAGAAACTATAAAGAAAGAATCATGGGCATAGCCAGGCTTTATTTGGGGGGTGGGCAGAACCAAGTTATCTGCGACGCAGTTGGGCAGGCAGGTAGTCATGTTGGTCTGCCATAGTCGAAACAAAATAAAAAAATTCCTTCCAGTAGCACATTAGAGACCAACTAAGTTTGTTATTGGTATGAGCTCTCGTGTGCATTCAGGTATCTGAAGAAGTGTGCCTGCACACGAAAGCTCATACCAATAACAGACTTAGTTGGTCTCTAAGGTGCTACTGGAAGGAATTTGTTTCGCAATTGGGCAGTTAGTTAAGTATTTTTATTTATTTATTTGGTTTAGGGGGAACATTGCCCCCCCCACCCCCTGGTTACGCCCATGGTAAGAATGGGGACTCTAATCTTTAAAGTAGGCTGTTGCTGTGTCTGCCTTTATTACAATGCTTTATCATCCATAGAACACTTAAAACCTGCAAATGACTTCCTAATCATTTACTTGTTCCAAGCCTCAGTAAACAGCTATAATTTACAAGATGCAAAAGCAAAGGCTGATAGATTGTGCTGGTGACAGTTACAGAATTGGACAAACCAACTAGAATTCCACTTTTTCTCATTTTCCTCTTAAGATAAATGTGCTAATGGGATTTCTCATTAAAAATGGAATTAGGAAGGCAGGCATTCAAATAAAAACAATTTTGCACCTACCCCCCCCCCCCGCCATTTGCAATTAAAACTAGACAGATGCTCATTTAGAACTGAGCAATATATATATACATTCAGCTTTCAGGAAGAAATGCTCCCATAAAGTTCAGGACTAAGAGAGCAAAAAGGGACATGAAGCCTGGATAGCAACTTGGTGCTGATAACACCAAGGTTGCAGGTTCAATCCTCACAGCTGCCTATTCCTCTACTGCAGGGGGTTGGACGAGATGATTCGCAGGGTATCTTCCAACTCTACAATTCTATGTTTCTATGTCAGCTGCATCCACAAGGTTGAAATCCAATAGTTCATCCAACAGACTCCATTGGATATTTCTGCCAATTCATTCTGCCCCATTTGCAGCTGGAGCCATTTATGCCTTTGGGAAGCAGAAGAGGCCCAGCGACCTCATCCAAATCTTGCACCAATGGAGGTACCTAGTAGGTTTGGAGCTGAACCAAGACAAATGTTTAAAGCATGTCAAGGCAAAAGGTTACCAGTTCAGACTGACACTAATAATTAATGGCAAGAGTTTCTTCTGATAGACTAGAAGAAGAAAAATTATTGGGTTCAGAGCTGGATATAGAAAACCTATACAATACAGAAAAGTGAAGGCTTTTAAAAGGAGAAATGCAGGAATTAAGGCTGCTGGCAGCATGTGAAGATTACTGAAATGATGCACAGAATGTGCTTCAGACACTCTAAACATAAATGCCAACTATTATTAGTAATACAACGTAATGACAAGAGAGCTGGCAAAACCCAGCTGAAAGTGTCCATGAATGGCTGATTCACACTCAGCACTGAAATTGGGATGGCCAGGGCTAGGAAAAAAGTAAGGAAAAAGAAGTCAGCACACACATTTAGCTTACTAAAGAATTCTATACAAATATATTGTTCCTGAAAATTAACAGCCCATATTTCTGCATATAGCTCTTGAGCATCATGCGTTTCAAACACGTTTCTGTTCTTTTCCAGCACCAAGTTGTCTCTGTTAACACAGTTGGTAGTCTGGACCTGCACTCTAGCAGAACATGGATTAACATTTCAACATCAACATCAAATGTGACATTTTGGCTGTAACAGGGAATCCAGCTTCATGTTCTCCTTGACTGTGCAAAATAAATAAAATGGAACCTCACCACGGTCATTTTTGTGCTGAATTGGACAAGTTTAAATTGGAGGCACTGAAAAGTAACAATGCAGCATCCATGTTTGAGCTTCAGCTCCTCAGAACAAAAGTGGTTCATTCACTGGGACAGCAGAAACACCGGGTGCATCTAAACCATAAACTGGCTTCTACCACCTGAAACACCTTGCTTAGGAAGCGCTCATTTCTGTCCAGGAAATAATTGCCATGTATCTCTGGGACCAGTGATGTTGTTCCATAAGGAGCAGTTGTGCTACCACCTGTTCATGCAGTTATGTGCTCACCAAACCCTGGACCCTGCTGGTCAGTCCCATCCCTAGCTAGCTCAATTTTTTTACGACATGCAAGGATTAAGAGGGCATGTGGCCTCCTAAACTGCTGCAAGCACCTTATCCACATCCTGAGGACTCAGAGGCTGAAACTGATCTTACGAAACCAGACTAGACGGGACACTAGGGTTGCCATATTTAAAAAAAATATCCTGACACCTGCAAAATTCCCCCCGATGCCATTTTTACACCCCAAAACAAGGACATGTCAGGAATTTTCCTGAGGTATGCAAGTCTACGGCACACTGCACACTTCCTCAGGACCTGTCACAACAATAGCATCAAAGTTGTTGCGGAGGTGCATGATTTTATCCGCTGTCACAGTAGACTTCTGGGAGCTGCAACATCCCATTCAGCAGGTAACATGTTAGGAAGCATCATACCACTTAGAATAGGTCTGCTGCCCAACTACTTGAAGATACAATGAAGGCAGCAAAGTAGACCTTCTTTGCTATCTTCAGTGCATGATTATGTGCTCTAACATCTTTGCCACAAAAGCAATGCAATTTGTTTTGCAGATATTAATATTGTACAGCCTGATGAATAAGCAACTGGAATAAAAATTGTCCATACCCATAAACATGATTCAAAAGCTTTACTAACAGAACTTGCTCCAAAAACAAATACAAAAACAAATAATGATACATCCAAATAGTTCTACAGTCATACCTTGGTCTCAAACATTTTGGCTCCCGAATGCCACAAACCTGGAAGTGAGTGTTCCGGTTTGTGAACATTTTTTGGAAGCCGAACGTCCAACGCAGCTTCTGATTGAGTGCAGGAAGCTCATGCAGCCAACTGGAAGCTGCACCTTGGTTTTCGAAAGCTGAATGGACTTCCAAAACAGATTCGTTCGAGAACCAAGGTATGACTATATAGTGTCATGTGCATGTTCAGCAAGGCTTATCTTCTTGCAAATTTGAAACTACTCTCTCTCCACACAGACTCTGTTTGCCTGGAGCTGTTCCCCTGTATCTTTATGAGACACCCTGTACAATTACACTATTAATGGTTTGCTGGTCTTTAGAAAAGTGGAAGATACTTGGCTAAATGCCTGCAAACATGTTTTTCAGCTGATCTTAGTGATATTTGGCGTAAGCTTATGGTGAGAGAAATGATATAGCAGGGAATAATGAAGGTGAAATGCACCCAGTTTGATACTTAGAAGATTCTTGACATTTCAAATCAGTTTGAGCACTCCAACTGGAACTGCATTATGTGTGTTACCACATGAAAAATTACAAGAGCAGGAATCCTAAATATACAGCCTGCTTCATGGGTAAATAAAGCTCTGGAAATAATGATGGTGCAGGTTGGGGGGGGGAATTGTGGGGCTAAAATTTACCTGGTGCAGAAATGGTGCAGAATGATTTCAAAGCAATCCATTACAATGGCACATGGGGTTTACAGTGGCTTATTCAATGAAAAAAACGACAAAAACTCTATGATTTACAACTATAAGAAAATATTGTATTTACCATGTACAGTTTGCATTCCACCAGGACCATGCAAACCCCGTCTCTCCCTCTCTGAGTCTGACCCAACCTGGCCCCTTCCCTCAAACTCCTCCCCCTGGCCAACCCCCCCCCCCTGTGCATAACAACTGTCACTCTGACTCACAGCTCTCCTCCACATGGACCCTGCCTCTGCCAGCACAACCTCCTGCTCAAGATCTTGCTCTCCGTGTCCAACCAGACCCACTTTCTGCCTCTGCAGTTTGGACGATGAGGAAGAGGAGCACAAATAGGTGAAGTCAAAACAGGACAGGATACACTTTTCTCCCAAAAAAGGGTGATCCCAGTTTTCTAGGGATGGGGGGCAACCCTCCATCCAGCACATATCATTGCAGTGCTGAGAGATCTGCACTGGGTGCCTGTTAAGCACAGAGCCAGTTATAAAGTTCAGCCACTGACAGACAAAGCTCTAAATGACTCTGGGGTCCTGAAAAACCCTCTTCACCTCCCTTGCCCAGGCAGGGCATTAAGATCAGCAAAGGAACCTGGTTTGTTTTGTGATGGCCTGATGTTTACCAGCATGTAGCAACACGGAGGCTGGATTTCAAACTGAAGGCAATATGTGATGCCTTTGAAATAGGTGGTGCTTCGTCTGTATTGGGGTTCTCTTCTGCCAGCAATGCAAACATCCCCCTGAACGTGGCCTCTTGGCATCGTTGTTTAAATCACTTTAAAAAGTGCTGCTATTTTTCTAGAAAAAGAGGTGCTGGAGCTCTCCAGGAACTCTGCCCTCATTCTCTCAGAATGGCAATGGCGCCCAATGGAGAGATGCTGGAGTTTCAGCTGAAAAAAGCCCTGGCTTTAAACTGTTTTAATTGCTATGGTTTTTAACTAGCTTCTTTTATTGCATATTTTAATTAGGATGTTTTAAATGTAACTGTTTTGCTGCATATTTCCACAGCGTGTGGATTTCACAGTTACAAAATGCTTAGAAGCCATTTTGGCATGGAAACAAAGTGTAAATTAAATAATAATAGTGATGCAGAACAAAGATTTCCAATGACAGGCAAGCACAACCATTTTAATTGAGTAATTTCATTTGGTTCCTTGAAAGATTGAGAATGGAAATGGAACCCACAAGATCCCAAACCATTAAGACTGCCAAATTGTTTGATGCCTGCCAAATTAAAATGAGGGGAAAACAAGATGCAGCAAAATGACTCAGCAGATAATAGGGACAGATAATAGCCCTATAACGCAATCGCTTGTTAAAGCAAAACCACACACAGTGCCTGTGTTGGCTACTCAAGGGGACAACCTACCCATGCAGTATCAGAAGAGGGCTCCAACGAGTCCCGTCTTCTGTCTTCAAAGATGGTCAACCAGCTGTCGCTAGAAAGCTTGCAAGCACACCAAGGATGCCATCCCCATGCCTTGCTTGCCTCAGCACTCACAGTCAGAGGTAAACTGCCTCTGATGAGGGAGGCTCAGTTTTGGCCTGTCATTGCTCACATCTATTGCCAGAGTTCTCTTCCATGGATTTGCTTAACCATTTTTGTACCATCCGAGCGACACTACATCTTGCAGCAATCATTCCATAACAGAATTAAACATTTTGCTTTTCATTTATAATACAAACCAATTGAAACGTCAAGTAAAAATGTCCTCAACTACTCAAAACAGACTTTGAGTCAATTTCAAAAGGCTTGTGACTTAGAATACTGTTTTCATCCCTTTGTACCTGGGTCTATTTTTGTTCTGTGTTTTTTCATAAACTGAGTTTGCAATGTTTTCTAAGCAAATGAACAACAACAAAAGCTAGGCTGTAATTTGTTAAACCTGGATCTAAAAACGCCCAGACTTTTACTTTCTGTTATCTCAGCTAGATATTCTCTTGGCAGCTCTGACTCCTTTCTTTCACATTTCTTAGTTGAGGAGCTTTTCCTATTTTCTCTTTATCTTTCATTGTATGTGCCATTAAATCCTCTTTAAGGCCTAACGGAATATCCAATAAAAATAGGATAACCCACCATTTTGCGATCACAAAACTAGCCAGTGTTTGTCAAGTTCTTATAGAACCTTCACACACACAAACAATAAATAAATAAACAGGGGAAGGCGACAGGCTTGCTGGCGAGGAGCAGCACCCACGGGCTCCTTTTGTTTCTTGCCAACATGAGGGATCACAGACTGGGGTCCAAAAAATTAAAAACTCAACGGGAGGTAATGCACCTTAAGGAAAGATCAGATACGCCGCCGATACCGCTGTTGCTTGTATGAATCAGCGTCATTTATTGACATAAAACAGAATTATTTGGCAGCTCATGCAATAACAAATTTATCAGTCTAATGTCCCAGTCGGCTCCTTTTTTTTTTGCTGACTGACTGAGGCAGCCTTTGGGAATGGAGATTCACTGGGAGAAGCTGTGAAAAAGGCAACTCCAGCCACAGCCCCAGGACTGACCTTTCCGCCCGGGAAAACGAGCACCTGAGAAACCGGAGGCCCCCCGGCAGTTACCTGTCCCGGCCTCGCCTCGCCTCGCCTCTCCGCCGCCGCCGCCGCCTCGGGCTCCTCCGCGTCTCCTTTTGTGGGCGGCGGGGATGCCGGCTGCCTCTCGGGCTGCAGCCAATCGCCGCCCCCCCGCCCCGGAGAAAGGCAGGTGAGGAGCGCGTGCAAAACCCGGAGTCGAGTCCGCAACCAGGGGGATACTATCTCTAGCAGCCAAATGTGGCGGGAGAGGCAAACAGAAAGACGTGGAGCGGATCTCGCTCTCTCTCTCTCTCTCGCCCAGCTACCCGTCGGGATCCCTTTTGGACAGGCACCCCCAAACTCGGCTCGCCAGACGTTTTGGGACTACAACTCCCATCATCCCTAGCTAACAGTGGTCAGGGATGATGGGAACTGCAGACAGTCCCCAAACACCTGGAGGGCTGCCTTTGGGGATGCCTACTTTGGGGCTCCATGATCACTCCAGATGGTGACAGCAGTCACGAAATTAAAAGACGCCTACTTCTTGGGAGAAAAGCGATGACAAACCGAGACAGCATCTTAAAAAGCAGATACATCACCTTACCAACAAAGGTCCGCATAGTTAAAGCCATGGTTTTCCCAGTAGTGATGTATGGAAGTGAGAGCTGGACCATAAAGAAGGCTGATCGCCAAAGAATTGATGCTTTTGAATTATGGTGCTGGAGGAGACTCTTGAGAGTCCCATGGACTGCAAGAAGATCAAACCTCTCCATTCTGAAGGAAATCAGCCCTGAGTGCTCACTGGAAGGACAGATCCTGAAGCTGAGGCTCCAAGACATTGGCCACCTTGGGAAAGATGGAGGGCACAAGGAGAAGGGGACGACAGAGGACAAGATGGTGGGACAGTGTTCTCGAAGCTACCAGCATGAGTTTGACCAAACTGCGGGAGGCAGTGGAAGACAGGAGTGCCTGGCGTGCTCTGGTCCATGGGGTCACGAAGAGTCGGACACGACTAAACGACTAAACAACAACAACTTTTGGGTCTTGGATCCGGACCAGGAAGCCAAAGTGTGTTGCCTTCGCAGGAGACGGCTGTGCAGCAACTCCAAGCGGCACACCTGAGTCTCCACCTCCCCCCAAAGAACATCAGGGATGGTTTTGTATACTTGCCAACACGGAGTCTCATGGCCCCAGCATAAGAGCAGCCTGTGGGTCCAGCACTTGATATTGCTAAAAGCTCTTCTGTTTGCAGTTGTCATTTTTCCTAGAACAGTGTCCCCCAACATGGACTGAAAAACACAAAAAAGGCCTGTGCCTCCTGTTGGCTAAGGATGTACCAGCACAACATTGTTCTCGGGTGTCTTTCCAGCCTTTCCAAAGAAGCCTCGGCTGCGCTGCGCATCATGCGCTTCCTTAGGTGTTTGCAGCTTCATACTTGCGCCCGCGGGACAGGATTCACCCCCTCTCTCCGAGCCATAACATGGGGCGGAGGAGAGGGGACAAACCCAAGGAATGGCAACTGTAGCCACTCTCATGACTTCTTTTTACACTTTTGAAAAAAGTTAAAGCCAGGGCTATAACTTATGCAATATGTTTATTAGTTAGTTTTGTTAGCAAAACAAAATCACAGGTAACCCTGATCAATAAAACAAAGCAGCCAAGAGGCCATACTGCATAAAAGAGAGTTATGCTGGAATTTGTTGATAGCCAACCTTCAGAGTATGTATAGTAGACGCTCAGAGGATAGATAGTCCAGCTAAATGGGAGCTGAAATGGCCATCGCATTTCTCACATATGTCTCTTATTTACTTAAGTGGCAGCTGTGGGGGGCTCAGAACCATGGTTAATAAGGAAGGGGGGGGTTAACACTTCCACATTTGCTTTGGCCTGACAACAGTTGCTCCCCAGAGGGATACTGCCTGCAGCAGGAGAAAAGCCCCATAAGCTCCGTGGGGCTGGAGGGGATTTTCATTAGGCCTGCAGCATAAAACATTCCTACATACAATGGTCCCAATCCTTACTGCTTTCCTATGGCTGCTGTTTAAAAAAGGAACAATGAAACACAATCATATTTCACATGTTGGCTCTTGTTAACATGAAGCAACAAAAATGAAGTGTTTCTCAACATGGAAATGTGGTTCACATGCTTGAAGGTTAGCTTTCATTGGTGTTTAATACAGTTCATTGGATAATAGTAAGAACATAATTATTTTTTTCTGATAATGTGACTGATATTCTCAGTGTCTGAAAGTTGAAGAAGGAATCTGTTCTATACATGATATATATTACTGTATTATTTCAGATAATGTGGAATGTCTTCAGCTATCTCCTCTGCACAAATTCAAATTTTTGAATTTTTAAGTAAAAGACATTTTGAAGTACTGAGGGCATATTGTTAAAATCTGAACAAGGCTAAGTTTGGCCTCATATCCAAAAGATTATTTTCCACAGCCCATAGGATGCACACTAGAGTGCTGAGTTAATAGTGGCCAAAGAGAACTCTTCTTTTAACATAAAATTATCCCTGACACCTTGTTAGCAGTTTGCAGATGCTTTAAAAGCAACCAACCAACCACCATGAATTGAGCATTTTTGTTTACTAAGTATTTCATCTAGTAAAAATTAATTGAGAATGTTTGTGCATACTGAACCTTGGAAGATAATCCAGCATACAACTGAGTTTAAACCAGAAACTAAATGTACCAACATCCCTCTCAACTGGGAACATTTAGTATGACAGAGATCTTCTGCTTTTTTTAAATGAAAAAAACCCAACACTTTGTGGTCCCATAAAACCTTGTATTTTAGCACTGCACACAATTGGAGCACACACAACTTAGTCTCTACAATTTTTTAACAGGAACGATTTGTCACTATTTTCAAAAACCACCTTCCAAATCTCCTCAAAAGCTAGTATAGGGGTTTATGAAGGAGAGGTTGCAAAAAATAGGGATGGAACTTTGAAGATAGGGACAATTGGATCATATTTAATTGCAGTATGCAATGGAAACACATTTTCAATAGCTTGCTGACAATAATACAGACCTTTCAATATCACTAACTAATGCAAACCAGCAGGCACATTTAGTGAAAATGTAACCTTAGGTTGTAAACTGGACACTCTTTAAATTAATGAATTCTGCTCCATTAGTTTCTTATCTTCCTATTTAAGACCACACTCCTAAGCAACTTTACTCACAATAAAATCCTGTTGAATGGGACCTGCTGTTAAACAATATTTATTTATTTCATAAAAATTATATGCTGTTTGATTGTAAAAAACAAAACAAAATTCTCAAAGAAAACAAGAAAATCAAGAAAAAACTGCAACTGTACTTTAAAATATCAGAAGTTAAAATCCTAAATCAGATTAAGAATATGATAATGAGGCAAGAAGAACAGTTAAGAGATTATATTAGAATTATGTTATTTTGTTCGGATTGAGCATAAACCTGACAAATCTCTTGCCTAGAAGAGGGAAAAGCTGAAGGGAGCAAGATTTGACTTATTTAAATACTTTTAAATAGATATTTTTAAAATAATTAGCTCAGAAGTCAAAGGCATGGATTAAGATTTTTTAAAAACCTATTTGAAAGAATAAACCATAAAAGTTATTGTCATCAATTTATTAAATTATGTTGTGTGAGAGAAATAAGCCAAGTGACTATACTCAAATATGGGAAAAAGTTGTGATAAAAATTCAAGAGACTACTGGTAAATAGAAGCATTTTGTGGAAATATGAATAAATATTCAGCATCATTATCCTTGACGGATAACTCTATAAAGGTTGACAACCTTTATATTTGTTCTGGTATACTTTTATTAGTGCATTATTTTAATTATTTATCTGTTTCTTTCTGATTTGTTAAAGGGGTTATTTACCTTCAGTCACACTGGGGCCTTGCATATAAAAGTTTGCACAAAAATTGAAGTTGCTAATTCAAAATGTGAGCAATCATGATATAATCTTGATATGCAGAAGCAAAACAATGACCTTGAATGAGCCCTGAAGGCATAGGATGCTATAGGCACCTGCCAGAGCAAAGCAGCGTTGCTCAAGGCCTGGCTCTTACTGGGAGATCCCCCTTGAATGAAAGTCAGGATACAGATATAATAAATTACCATGTATAGGCTCACACAAACTAAATGAAATTTCAACAACCGAAAGGTAAGAGTATGACAATAACTGCTGCTCTCTCCCACACGCTGGGCCACCTGCTGAACCTGCTGCTCTGCAAATTACTAGATGTCAGTCACACATAATCAATCAATATCCTTATTTACCACCCCTAATGATCCATTAACTGGTCCCCACTTCTATTTCCTCAGCTACCTAATTACAAACAGATCTCAAAACAGAATTATTATTCCTTAATGTCATAAGATTTAGAATATGAACAAAAACAACAGCCCTTTTATCTAATATAAACTGCCAATTTTGATATTTAGTTAAGGCTGCTATTAACAACAAAGCAACCAGCAACTTTTTGACTTTTAGAAGGCACCTGAAGGCAGCCCCGTTTAGGGAAGTTTTTAATCACTGGTGTTTTACTGTGTTTTTAATATTTTGTTGGGAGCCGCCCAGAACGGCTGGGGCAACCCAGTCAGATGGGCGGCATACAAATAATAAAATCATCACCATCATCCTCATCCTCATCTCCTAATAGATACATGGGGATACCTTATCGCAGAGTATAAATGTATCTTTGAGAATAAGCATTTTGCTTTGTTGTACTGTTAGTTTTATTTTGAAATGCCAACAGGGTTCCAAGAAGCACTCGAGGACCAAACTTCCAAAAATAATCATGGTCTACATACAAACTATTTGAAAATACTAAGCTGGTTGCTTGCAGCTGCACACTCACTCTTTTTTCACTTGTCCAAAATATTTCTGTTGTAGCTCTTTATCAAGTTTACGTATTTCCTGAAATAAGAGTTTGCTGAATTACAAAATTAATTTAAAGGTAGAATTAACGGCTGCAGGAGACCTATAACCATTTCAGGGGCAGGGGAGAAAACACTTCGGTAGAAAAAGAATTGAAATTGCCCTGAGAAAGTCCATGATTTTCCTTCAGGAAATCAAAGTTTCACACATTGCTAAAAGTCAATTACACAGAGTAGATTCAGACAGGGTCGGCCTGCTGTTTTTAATGAGGGTTGCAGACGCAGCGGCATCACAGGATGCAACAAGTGTGGGGTTGTGTTCTAACTGACCTAGATACACGCAAGCAGCACACAAGGAGAACAACACACAGCTTCCTCTGAGCTCTAGGAGCTTGCATAAGAACACGTGGAGAGCCCTGCTGGGTCAGGTCAAAGGCGCATCTGAGGCAGCCTCCGCTTTCCACATTGGCCACCCAGAAGCCTCTGGCAAGTCAGACAGCAGGACCTGAGGACAAGAGCCTTCTCCTCCCTTGCAGTTCCCAAGAAGCAACTGGAATACGGAGGCAGGCTCCTCTGGCAGTAGATGTGGAACACAGCATCCTGCACAGAGGTGCATTCGCTGGAACAAGGATCCTGGCAGTAAAATAGAAATATGGACAAGCCTTTTTCGGAGAAGTTTGCAAAAGTCTTTAAATGCAGATCTCCAAGTATCTGTGTGAATGGAAGAAAAGGCTGGAAAATAGCCCCCCCCCCCGATTTCTATACCACTTGGAGGGCTGCCTCAATGCTTTTATCAATGTTTTATCGGTAGCATAATTGGCATGCAGTGAACATAAAATGTGAATTTAATTTAGCAATAATTGGCTACTTCTGTTGATTTGGAGTTTCTGAGAGTCTCTTGGTAAGAAGAGAAATGCTACGTCTTGGCATGATAGATTTGCTTCCTGCCGCTCTGAGCCCTTTATTTCGCTTTGGTTGGATGCTTTACTGCTTTCTGAAGAAATGCATTAAGTGCAGAAGAGAACAAAGGAGTAATCAGAATGGAAATCCAGAGACGAAGCCATGTTCCTCTGCTGCAGCAAAAACAACATAATGGTTAAGATTTCTCAGGACACAATTTATTGTAGCATGAACTTTCATGAACCTTCAAGGTAGTCGAAGCTGAAATGCTCACCACCCCAGTCCTTAAAAAAAACATCTCCCTCGACAACAAATACTTCCATGTTTATGAAAATTTATTATCAAGTTTTTAGTTACTAATGTATGTAAACATGTAATGTCTTGATTCCCAAATTGTGGAGAGGGGCTGGTGCAGAAGGAAATACAGTGGTACCTCAGGTACCTCAGACGCTTCAGGTTACAGACTCCGCTAACCCAGAAATAGTACCTCGGGTTAAGAACTTTGCTTCAGGATGAGAACAGAAATCGCACGGTGGAAGCAGGAGGCCCCATTAGCTAAAGTGGTGCTTCAGGTTAAGAACAGTTTCCGGTTAAGAACGGACCTCTGGAACGAATTAAGTTCTTAACCCGAGGTACCACTGTATTGGGTACCATCTGAGCTTTGTGTTTGCCAGAGCCATAATCTCATGGGTAGCCAGGGCCATCTTTAGCATATGCGCCACCAGGGTACAAAGAGCCACCCAATGCCCCCAAATTTAGTTTAGCCGCCCCCATTTTTTTAGGGGGGACCAACTCAAAGTTGTTGAGCTTTTTTGGGGGGAGGAAAATCGCCTGTAACAACGACGCAGCAGAGATAGCTGCTTTTGCTTCCTGACTCATCAGAAATATTTGACGCTACAGAGTAACAGAGCGACAGAGGAGGGGGGCAAGGTCTTTTCCTCTATTGCTTTTCACTGCCGCCAATACATTTGGTGCCCACCAGAATTCGGTGCCTAGGTGTACCACACCCCTTGCACCCCCAGGTAAAGATGGCCCTGTGGGTAGCATTGCTAGGTGTATGCAAGGTGTGCCCAGATATACCACCCTGTTTCAAAAACAACAATTTGTCCCAACGTGGCTCCCCCCACACTGAGTATATCCTACCCTCAAGGGAAAGCCAGGTGACGCATGTCATGTGTAGTTTAGTCTGACTCCAAGAGAGGCACCACTACAGAGAAAGTGAGCGCCTCTTAAAATCTTGGGTGCTGAGTCTGGGACCAATTGTGGCTTCCAGGGCACATAGGAGAGTGACCAGGTTGTTTCTAAATGTGAACTGGGCAAATCAGTGGTTTACGATGCTAATCTTTCTCTTCCTTGCCATTAACAAACACAGGGCTTAATAAGCCCTCCAGAACTTTTGTGACGTGTTTCTGCATGCAAATGGTAAATGGCACCCTGTGCCATGAGATGTTTGAGACAAGTGCTGCCAAAGATAAGCTTGAAGGGGGAAATGTTGATGCTTATTATTTTTATTACCCTCCTGGCATATTAATAAGTTTTTCTCCTCTTCTCCCTAGGCATAATAAAAAGCTCCTTGCTGGCAACTGTTCTGATTGATATTGATGGCTCTGTCTGAGCAACAAACGTTGTGGCTTTAGGGACCTCCATTTCCCAGCACCTGAAGGGAGCTGGACTTGATTCTCAAAGCAAGATTTCATGCTGCATCACCAAACTCTTTCAGACCTTCCTGAGGTTCTGCCTTTATTGGCTGATACAGAAAATATAGAGTCCTTTGTCTTTAACAATAATTTAGCTGCCCTTTCTACCTCACCTCATCTTGAAGACTTGCGGCATGCATTGGGGTTTAAATCAATATATTGCAAATAGGTTAAAATATGAATAAACAGTGACCCGAGACCCCCGCCTTCAAGGCTGAATTAACTCTGGCTACAAACCCATGGAGTAGTGGAACCCCTGTTCCACTGGGACTACTGGGTCACAGCCCTCCAAATGAGGGCTATTTTTAACACCCTACCCTGCCAGTCATCATCATCTCAGAGTAACACACTCTTTTCTGTCCCACACATTTTTTATACTTCCATTTAAACTGAGTGATGCTCCTGGAGACATTTCAGTAAATCTCTTCTCAGCCAATCCATTTCCTGCAACATGCCACCAATCCTAATCAAAAAGTAGGGCTATGGCAAACAGCTCCTTCCCATTTTTCTCTAGGTAGAAAAACATGTGGCAGACATTTGAATATTCGGACAGCCAGCTTTCCAGACCCTGCTGGGCAGATTCCCACTCCCTCTGTCCTTAGGAGGGCAATTCAGCTGCTTGAGGAGCACTGCTGCGCCAGAGGGTAGCCTATCTGAATAAGACATCCGTTCTGAGCATGCCCCGAGTTGTTTCCTTGAAGGCCAGATCTTCTAAAAGCTTGTAGCATGTTCTGGTAACAGGAGAAGCAACAGGATGTGTCTTCTACTTTGAGGATCTTTTGATATTTGGGCTAGTACTGTATTCGTTTTTTGACCTTGCTAGAGAGAAATAGCACAGAAGCAGTGGGAGTTTCTTTCTATAATAAATATCTAGTTTTTACTTAATCTTTCTGCATTTATGACTTGAGTTGGGAGGGGAAACGATGGGTGGCTTGTGTAGGTGTTGCAACAAAGTCTGTATTAACCATTTCCCTGCATTCATTCATTAAAAGACAGATGACCTTGGGGTCCCTTCCAACTCTGCAATTCTATGAAAAACTGCTGCTGCTGCTGCTGGATGGAGCAGAGCAGGCTGATTTGAGCCACATGCAATTCCAAAGTATTTTGCAGGGCATTTCCAGAAAAGGCATGTGGGTCTGCTTCCAACAAGCTCCCCTCCTAGCTTAAAGTTCAGAATATTTTGCAGGATTTATTCCTTGCAAGCACAGAACAGCCATTGTGTGGCCCCTGTAAAAGTGCCAGTTCTGCAGACTGAAGCAATTGACTAGGCATATGTGGGGCAAGACAATTCCCAAGGTAGACTGGTCCCAATCTGTTAAGGGCTTTATACACTAATGGGAGCACTCTAAATCTGGCCAGGTGACAACTTGGCAGCCAGTGCAAATCTCTGAGAAGAGGTGTAATACGCCGACATGGTCTCACTTCTGCCAGCAACCATGCTGCAGGAATCTTCACTAACTGCAAAGAAAGCCCCATACAGAGGTCACAGCAGTGCCTGGACTACCATGGTCAAGCTACCCTGGTCCAGGAATGGCCGCAGCTGTCCTACCAGCTGAAAGTGGCAAAATATGCTTGCAGCCATCCTTGGGCCTCCTTGGGCCTCCAGGGACAATGCTGGATCCAGAAGCACCACAGACTGTGAATCTGCTCCTTTGGCAGGAAAGTGGCCTCATCCAGGGCAACAATGGGCCATTTCTTCAACGTGGTGGGAACCAGGCACCCACAGCACCTTTGTCTGGCTGGGATCCAGGCTCGGCTTGTTTCCCCTCATCCAGCCTATCCCTGCGTCCAGGCCTCCCCTGATTCAGCTGCTGTGGAAAATACACCTGTGTCATCAAGGCTCAAGATGGCACTTCACCCAAAGCTCTTGCTCTCAGCAGCTTCATATAGATATTGAATAGTACTGGGGATAAAATGGGGCCTTGTGGCAGCCTCCCCCTAGGTACTCCCTGGACATGGTCACATAAGGTAGGTTCCAAAGCCCTGTAGCCTCCTACTACCTTTGGTGAAAGGTTGCCAAGGCTGGTTTAGTCCCATGGGTCTAGATAATCTGTGTCATTCCAGAATGCCTGCATTGGTCCCAGCACAACCCTCTCTGGTATTTACAACCACCTGGTAGTTAGTTCAACTCTCATACTCCCTCCCCTTTAGACAGATTTATCAAAGTAGTTTCTCCAGAGAGCTTCCTTTTTGAATAATGGGGAGAAAATCTGTTTGTTGATGGATGGCAATAAATACAATACAGCGGTACCTCAGGTTACATATGCTTCAGGTTACATACGCTTCAGGTTACAGACTCCGCTAACCCAGAAATATTACCTCGGGTTAAGGATGAGACCTTGCTTCAGGATGAGAACAGAAATCGCGCAGCGGCAGCAGGAGGCCCCATTAGCTAAAGTGGTGCTTCAGGTTAAGAACAGTTTCAGGTTAAGAACAGACCTCCAGAACGAATTAAGTTCTTAACCCGAGGTACCACTGTACAGATAAGGCTTATGCATTCACCTTAGCAGCTCAAAGGATCAGGGAGAATTTCATTGTACAACATGGGGTCTTGTGGGCTGGGACCACCTGTGGTAAAGTATACTTCTATACTGTTTGTATTCTTGTGATGACCAACGGTTTCTAACAAATAAATCTGACTGACTGACCTAACCGAAGGGTCCGGGGCCAGTTTCTTTAGGAGTGGCTGTCCCACTGTCTCTTTCAAGGTGAGAGGGGCCAGTCCCTCGTGCAATGAATCATTAACAGTGCTGTGGACCCAACCAACAACCCCCTCTGCTAGATTTCGTGAACCAAGTGATGTGGCTCAAGAGGACATGCAGTTGGGCAAATAGCCACAAGTACCTTGTCCACATCAGGCTGTGTAAATTGACAATGATCCCATGACACATCCCAGATTTTGGCACTGGGTACTTCAGTTAGAACTACAAAAACAGCAGAATCAAAGTCACTCTGAAGTACGAGACTTTATCCTCAAAATGTGCAGATGGTTGATCACAGCGGGTCCTTGAAAGCTCCAGAGATCCCTCTCCCTGATGTGAATCGCTGTCTCTTTGACCCAGCATCAGAGGACGCACAGGTAAGTGGCTTGCACTTAGGGGCCATGTTGTGTGAAGGAACACAAATTGCACCCAGCGAGGGATTCACACTCACTCCTAGGTCTCTGGCTGTGTGAAATAGTAAGTGGGATCATCTGTCTTGGGGTTGTTGGGTTTTTTTGCTGGTCACCCACCCCTTTTTTTTTTTTTACTGAGTGCATATAGTTGAATCCGTGTAAGTTAATGTGCATATTCTGTGGCTCCACCATACAAAAAAGCTTGAACCTGGTGCAGTAATCAATTGTTGGCAAGTTCAGATCCCACAGACGGTAGTATCCTGGCAGCAGTTTCCCCTACAAGCAGCCTAGCTACTCCATTCTGCATTAGCTGTAGCCTCTCCACCAAGCCCAAGGGTAGCTCTGCATACAGTGCATTGCAGTAGTACAACCCTGAGGTTGCTCCTACAGAGACAACTGTGGTCAAGCTACCCTGATCCACAAATGACTATAGTTGCCTTACCAGCCAAAGTGGGTAAATGGCATGACTGAGAACCCCTGTGCCGCCCTCCAGCGACAGAGCTAGATCCAGGAGTACTCCTTGACTGCACCTCTGCTCCTTCAGTGCAACTCCCTGCAGAGAACTGACTGGTCTTCCAGTCCAGAATCTGCTCACACCCAGAGCTTTTGTCTTTCCATGATTCACTTGGTTTATCAGACTGGTCCAGGACCTGTACAACCACTTTGAATAAAATGTTACAGAGATCAGCATATTGATGGCACCTCACTCCAGATATCCTAATGATCACTCTCAGTGGCTTCATATAGATGTTCAGTAGCACTGGAGACAATCTAGTGCCCTGCACTATGGGGCTGAGAAACATTTGCCAAATGATATCCTCTGGAATCGTCCAGGGAGCTACTATTGGAAGTCCTGCAGAACACTGCCCCTGATCCCCATCTCCCACAGATGGTCCAGGGTATCCAAAGATGATGAGAGATCGAGTAGGAGCATCATGGTCACACTCCAGCGTCACTCTCCCAATGAAGGTCCTCCATCAGGGTGACCAAGGCTGTTTCAGTCCTGAATCCAGCTACAAATGCACACGGAGATACAGTTAAGTTAAACTGCTCACCTGCATAAGTGCATTGTTCCTTTAAAAATCAGGATATTCTTGCTGCATACTCTATGGAAATGAACACTTTTTCAAGTTTTGATCTTTACCCTTTAATTAGTTTGCACCGAATATGCATGTAAATTGTGGGAAGGTAAAATCTCTTCATTCCATATTGATGGTTCTGCTGCTGTGCTCAGTGCCCTTGAATTTATTTTCAGGGAATTACAGGGTGAGTCCTTTAAAAAAGGCCCCGCGGATACAGATACACTCACCCTGTACAAGAGGAGGCCTTTCGGTGGGGAAGCAGAATGGAGCTAAAGAAAACCTTGAGCTTCTATTTGTAATGCATCATGGAAACGTTGAAAAGCAGGACTGATCGTGACTGGCACCATACATGATAGTTCACGTGGAAAATCACAAACTAAGCAACTCAGTGTGTAGGTTTACAAAAACTCATTTACAACAACGTACAGCATTTCAACAACTTCTAATTCATTTAATCTTAAATAATGTATACAATGCCAAGATAATAATGACTTGAGCAACTCAGTATCTCAAAGCCAAGCAATCCAAATATTTCTGAAAAAGTCCATGAGGGAAACTATGTGCAGACTTGCGCTGCTGCAGTCTCAACAGAACTCCGACAATGAGATATTTGGATTTCAGTCTCTGTTTCATGAATCGTAAACCTACACACAGAGTTGTTTAGTTTGTGATTTCTCTCTCTGAATTCCTTGGGTGTGTCGTGGTTCAAGTGGAAAGGCAGTATACTGGAGGCATGCAAGGAAGCGGCAGTTTTGCACAGCCCATGCAATTTTTGTCTCCGGCCCTTATCAGCCACAGACTCTTTTGTCTTGCATCCTCCCACCATAATCTGTTCAGCAGAAGCAAAAAAACGGTGATGCCTACAAAGGCTTTTTCAAAAGAAGTAAGAACTCTTTGACAGTGAGCAGGAACTGAATGGGGAGGGAAGGCTCTTAGCTGAACCATGTCAGTAGTGACGTGATTTACATAATGGTTTGAAAAATACTAAAAGTCTACCTTCAAAGAACTGGCTGAGGAGTTCAAATCAATATGATCCTTCTAGTTTTTAGTCTCCACTACGTAGAGTTTTCTGCCTACTTGGGTTCCACTTTCTTTAGCTACCCTGTTTTGGGGGCAGAATCCTTAGACGCTCTCTTCCTCCCTGTGCCCTCCCCACAAACAAAACACGCAGGGCCCCCCTTGCCTCGAGTACAGCAAGGTTTTTTTTAGCCCCTTCTTTCATTTGTGCCTTCTTACCACAGCCCCATGTTTCCGTGGCTCTTTGCAACAGAAAAAGTGTTTACAAACTAATGAAGAAGAAAAAGCAAGGGATCGGGCTAAACCACATAAAGACAGCTGGGGAAGGCAGTGATTCTGAGAGCTTCTTAATGGACAAAAAGGAGAAAGACAAACATTCCCAGGAAAATTGCAGACCCAGGCGAAAGAAAGGACATTTGTTGCACTTTGGCAAAGCAGCACAGGTAGAAAGGCATCACAGATTATGAGCTGTAGTTGAAGGGTCTGATTGTGTCATGTCCACCTGCCTGTTTTTCACTGCATGGCTCAGCTTCCTTCTCAAGGAAGGGCTTTGTTAAAGTATCCTGCAACAATGCCTCCTCTGCCACTTCAAACAGTCCTCTTTTCTCTGCCACTGGAAAGGAAAATGAGCAGTGGCGTAGCGTGGGGGGTGCAGGGGGGGCCGGCTACACCGGGCGCAACATCTGGGGGGTAGGGTTAGGGGGCGCAAATCCACGGGTTAGGGGGCGCAAATTACTTGCCTTGCCCCGGGTGCTGACAACCCACGCTACGCCACTGAAAATGAGACCTCTTTAACATGTTAAATGGTGCTCCCACAAGCAACTCTGCAGAAATGACAACAAAACGATAGTTTGGCCAACAAAACTGTCTGTGTTTAGTGCAGAGAGCAGGAATTCTAATATTCCAACAGACACTGGGAATACAGAAGATATCCTGCACAGCTTTCTATGCCTCTCAACAAAATGCCAGCCCTGTATTTCCCTTGGCAAAAAATGGCAGCATCATCAGAATCCATCAGAATTTAGAAACAGAAAATCAGATCTGGCTTACAACATAATCAATATATAAATTTAAAATAGCTAGGACCAATTCTTTCCAGTGGCGATGGGCACACAAACAATACCATGGTAATACAACAATACAAGAAATACGCAGAGCAATCCACACTGTGCTGGACAAACCTCTGCCTAAATCTTAACACAGCAGGAGTGAAAAGAGCTTCCCTGTAAGTGTGGATCCTATTCCTATGCATGTCTCCTGGGACTCAGAGGGACTTACTCCAAAGTAGGTGTGCCTAGGATGCCAGCCTGTATATTATTAAAAAGTGAACAGTTCAGTTGTAGTCGGTTATTACATTAATATTCTACCTTTCCTCCAAGAAACACAGAACCTGCCTTTCAACTTTTATTTTCACAATAACCCTCTGTGTAGGTTAGTTCAAAGGATGGTGACCGGTCCAAGGTCCGGGGGGGGGGGGGGCTTCATGGCCGAGCGGGGATTTGAAGCCTGGTCTCCCATGACCTAGGCTGATATTCTCACCACTATACTGTACTGCCCCACATATACTTATTTAGTTAAGAAAACGTCCCACAGAGGAGGCAGGCTGCTGTATCCACAGCACTGATGCATTCTGTGACCAATCACATCTTTTGCTGGGGGCCAATAATTCTGCTGCTATCTCGCATGCAGCCATGGTTTATGGCTTACTGCTCATGGGATGTCAGGGGCAGGGTAAGCCGTGAGCGTAATGCTATAACAAACCATAGCTTAGCTCACAGCAGTGTAGAAGCAGCAGGATCAGAGGATTGTCCCTCCTGGAACAAGCACATGTGCTCATTTGTGCCAAGCTGTGGTTTGGCTTAGAATTGCATGCAAACTAGGACGTTGTGTTTACAACAGTCCATTTCCAATGAAATGATTTAAAAGGTGTGTGTGTGTGTGTGTGTGTGTGTGTAGGAAAGAGTGAGTGAGAGAAATTAAATTTGCACATCCGAAGGAATAAGTGTCAATCACACAGATGTATTAAGGAATGTGGTAGCTTGATCTCTTGATCACAAAATCCTCAAACAATCCTTCTAGTTTCGTGGAACTTGATGGAACAGCTTGCTAATATAATCTTGGGACTGTGGAACTGGGGGAAAGGTCAACATACTGATCTGGGGGAAGTATATCTGAATTACTTCCTCTATGTCTCTCCATATAGATTGTTTTATGCTTCCTAGTTCCCCAAACAATAGGAGGCTTTAGAAGCAGACATTTACTGTTGGGGGACTATATTGCAAGCAGATTGTTTAGATCCAAATTTTCTGTGTATGTATTTGACAGGTCAGCGTTCACACAGCTTTAGTTTTGTCAGTGACTGATATTCATTCCTCCACTTTTCGCCTCCCTCAGTGAGTGAGACTTGAAGGAATACAGCCACAAGTCTTTTGTGGTTTTTGTTGTCTCCCCCATTCACTCATTCAAAGCCCCCACTGCCCTTTTCCTGTTCTGTGAATGCATTCAGGTATCTCTGCATCTTTAAAAAAACAAAATTTCGCCCAGGAAGTGGGCAAGAGAAATGCTACCAGTCTTAGTTATAACATTTCACAATGGACAAAATGGAGACTGCTGCTTTTGGGGGATAGGCTGGGTGGGCTATCCATTTCAATGTGGGTTTAAAAAACATTTAGAGTGATAGATAGATATGATAGAGAGATCTATCTGTATTTCAAACACTCTTAGGACATGGGGTCAGGTTCAGATGTGTGCCAAATGCAGGTGTCCTTGACCTGCTCTGGAGGAGGGTAGGACTCGAACCTGTGGCTTCAAGCTGCAAGAAAGGAGATTCCAACTAAACATTTGGAAAAACTATCTGACAGTAAGAGCTGCTTGGCAGTGGAACAGACTCCCACGAGAGGTGGTGGACTCTCTTTCCTTGGAGGTTTAAAAGCAGAGCTTGGATAGCCATTTGTCATGAATGCTTTAGCTGAGATTCCTGCATTGCAGGGGGTTGGACTGGATGACCCTCGGGGTCCCCTCCAACTCGACAATTCTATGATGCTTGCCATGCTTCTTTCCTTTCCTTTTCCTTTAAAGAAAACAACAGTCATGGGTTGGGGCATAAATTGGTCCATACAGTTTTCCTTAATGAAAATCCTCTCAAAGCCGAAGGCGGAGACCCGTTAAAATCACAGGCGGGAGAAGCCTGTGAACGTGGGATTCGGCGGGCACCTTTTGCGCCTCCCCCACTCGTGGGGAACCCCGGTTTTTGGGGCTCCGGAGCAACGTGGGGTGAGCGGCGCGGTGCATCGAATCGTCTGCTTCTTTCACGGAGCGAAGCTGCATAGCTGTTGCTGGAGAGCGCTGACCTTTTCCTGTGGACAATTTGACTTTAAAGTAATTACCCGTGAGTAGAGCTGAAACGGAAGAATTGGATCTCTAAAAGTTTAATTTGGTATCCTAACGGGGAGGTTCAAAACAGGAAGTCCGCCTTCCCTTTGTGTAAATAGACTGAGGCAATGAAGTTGCAAGCTGGAGTCCTGGAAGGTCTTTTGTAAAAGATCAAATTTCCAACGGTGAAGAACATTAAACCCCCTCTTGGAGGCAGGAGAAGAGAGGGGGAGGTTGTGGATTGAGTGTGCCTGCGGGAGAGAGTGAAGAGGCTTAAAATACCGCCGCTCTGACCCTGGAAACGGGCTGCTAGTAAGACTGACGCTTTTTTCCCCCCGGTTTTTTTTGGGGGGGGGAATGTTCATTGACAGCGCTTAGAACGTTCATTGACAGCTAGCTAAATAAGAGAAATACAATGTTTCTACTGTTTCCGGCTGCTTTTAAAAAAGGAGGAAAGTAACTGAAAATTGAAACTAACTTCGGTTTATTGAAACTGTGTTTAAAAGAGGACATATTGACTGATACAAATACAATTTGTTTTCCCCTAGTGGAAGCTCTTGAAATCGGTTACTTTACAGGAGCTGGGCTAGGGGAATTTCCAGCTGCAAGATAAGAAAAGTGTGAGACTTTGGAATTGACCTTGAATTTCTAAAGTGTTATGGCAAACGGAAGGGAAAAAACAGTCGGGATGTCGACAGAGGAGGCCTTAGTGGCTGCATTTTTGAAAATAAATGATTCGCTGGAACAACTTCATAAGAAAACAGATGCGAGGAATATGAAATTGGATGCTGCAAATATTGAGACTGATTTAATTGTAGAAAGTTTAAATAAGTTGGGACAAAAGGTGAATACCAATTCAGAAATCACCCAGAAACTGATACAGGAACCTACTCTGATACGGCAAACTGCAGATGAAGTCAGGGAAAAAACCCTTGCTGCTGAACTTAAGGTGGTACAACTGGAGAGGAGAGTCCCATCCATACAAAGACAACTTGATGAACATAAGCTGACATTCGTTATGATTGAACTTAGAGAAGAGCGGATGAGTTTGGGGACCAGGGCCCTGTCTGAGTTGGAGGACTAACATTGGTTAAGAAAGAGAGGTATTTGGGGGTTAGTATGACCGCCAAAAATGTGAATCTGCTTAAGGACAACCGTGAAGGATGTTGGATTGAAGAGAAGGGGAATTTGGAAATATGGACAAATCAGAAGTTGTTACTGTTGGGCCGAGTCGTTGTGGTGGGGATGGGGGCTGCTGTGTTGCTGGGGATGTTGCTGTTGTTTCAAACATTGCAAGCTCTGGATGGGATGGAGGGTCTCAGGAGGTGGCAGAGGGATGCTCCTAGAGTTGTTTGGCAGGGCAGGAAGCCTCGAGTTAAGCTTAAGATATTGATGGATGCTAAAGAAGGAGGTGGACCTGCCCTGCCAGACCTTTAAACTTCGTTGTGAACCATCTGCCTTTTGCTGGTTGAGAGAATGGTTGCTTCTTGAAAACACCGAAGTGTTGGATAATGGCAGACGAAGTTGATGGACTATAGGGAATTAGCGGAAATGACTGGCAAGATCCGAGACCAGGGTGAAGAGTCGGTGGAAGAAGATTGGAAAAAGTTTAAAGACTATTTATAGAAATATTGTAAAATTAAGGATTGTTAGAAAAATGTTGGAATGAAATTACATGGCTTTAGTAGAAATGTCATAAGGAATTAAGTATAAATAGATTAATAGAAAATTAAAGGAAAAGTATGGCAAGAATGTGTTAAGATAATTATAGAACAGAAAACAGAGTAAGATGGAAAGGAATTGCTGAAACAAATAATAGAAGTAGAATACAAAAAGGGAGGTGTGAGGAAGTCGCTGGAAATAAGAGAATGAAATATAAGATATTGAAAATGTCTGAGCTGTTTTTAAGTTGTTTTTGTTTGTTTTTGCTTGATTTGTTATTTGTATTGTTTTCTCTTTCTTTTTTCTTTTTCTCTGTAGTGCTGTGTTGGAAATTGTGAAAAAGTAATAAATATCATTTTTTTTAAAAAAAGAAAATCCTCTCAAAGCTATTTGCCTATCACTTTTTTTTTTAGAATAATTTTTTATTAACCAACCAATCACATCAAATCAAACCAAATTACATAAATTCCAAATTACACAGCCGAATTTTAAATTTTTGTTGGGGGTACCCATATTTCAAGTTCCGAAGGGGATCCAATCAACTTCTTGCTTCTTACTGCTGTTTTAATGTCCACAAATCTAACCTTATGATGTTCACAGTACTATCCAGTCCTTTCTTATTGTTTTTCCACATCTCTTGTTGTTATTTTCATATATTTTTCCTTTCTCTTTGTGACCTCTGATAGTCTCCACAAGCTGGTTAGAACATTTTGTAATCCTGCGTGGATATTTTTTATTATTATCCAGTAGCCATATCCAGACGTTTTCCATATAACACCACTTCCATACATCAAAACAGTCTTAGCGTCATTAATCTTCACCAATCTGTCTCCTTTCTCAAAACCTCTGAGGAGATTCACCAGGAATGCAGTCTGAAAACAAGTCCGTTCTTCCTCCCGATTATAAATCCTTTGGCAAGATGGCGACTCCGAATTAATTGCTGCGCCATTCCAAAAGCTCTTATTGCTTCTCGATCTCCATAAAGCATACTTCTGGTTAAAGTTTATCTCCACACAGACCTTAATCATCCTGCTTGGGTCAGTTCAACCGACGATTCTAATGAGGATGGGTTCTTGTAAATCACATAGAAGGAAAGTAAAAAAGGTCCCCCCCCCATTCAGTCCCGTTGTCAACATACCCAGCCTTTGGTGTATCTTCATCGTAAAATATTCCTGTTTCTCCAACCCGTCGTCTTCTTTCGCAGAGGTCACTTAAACTAGCAGACTTCACTCCCCTTCACTTGAAATATGTGCATTTGCTTCTTTTGTAATTAATTATTCCAAATTGCTGCAGCTAGTGCGCGATCAGAGACAGCGTCCAGGAGAGCCGATGTCCACACGGGGGCATTCTGCCTAGGGTCCTCACCCCCTTCTTTCGAATTAGGGGGTGATTTATGGGCACAGCAGGCAAGGGCAGTGTTCCCCATTTCCTTGGGGCAACAAGGGAGGCTGCCTACTCCCATAACAGCCTCTTAATTACCCCGTGTGGGTCGGAGAGATGGTATTGTCGGCCATCTTCCAATGCGCCCCCTAGTGGCCCCCCCCCGCTATTTGTCTATCACTGAACCTTCCTCCCCAAGCACCACAGCTGAAAATACCTCCAAGAGCCCCTTTCAGCTGCTCAAAAAAAAAAGATAATGTGGAAAAAAACAAAAGATACAGTCAACAACTTCCAACATCTCATCCACTTGGGTTTTCTCAGTGCTATTTTTCTAGAAAAAGAGGTGCTGGAACTCACCATGGACACCTCCCTTCTTCCCTTAGAATGGCAATGGCGCCCACCTGAGAGGTGCCGGAACTGAGTTCCTGTGAGTTCAGGCTTTAGAAAGCCCTGGGATCTCTGTAAATATATTAAATTTGCTGGTGGCAGGGAAGGCCTATGGCAAGGATTGCTGTCTCCCTCTCTAGTTTCTCCAAAGGTTTCATTAAACCTCTGGAAGTGTCTTTCAAAATGGCAGCTTATGGAGACAGCTCAGTATCTTTGCAACCACATAATCTTTCATGCACAATATAAAGCTAAGTCATAAATAAACTGAGTTGCTTGTGTTTGTGTGCGTGGCTGGGTAGAGTGATTCATACAAACCTACTTAGAATACTGGATGAATGTAGCAAAAGTCTATGAACTATGAGGAATAGTCTTGTCACGGCCGAGGGAGAAAGGAAACAGGAGACAGGAGGTGGCAAGAAAGGGTGCGGAGTGTTCCTTGCCAGCTGCATGCTAGAATGGCATTTTCCCCAGACTCCCACAGGCATGAACACTGAGCACTGCTAAGCAACCAGAGATGCCCTTCAAGCCCAAAGAAAGGAACGCCAGTCTTGTGGGTGCTATAAGGGATGACGGATTGGACTTGGGGAAATGCCCCCCCCCTCTCTTGCCAGGGGCATAGGACCCCCCCCCCAGTCCCCGCCATGCTACACCACTCTATATTACTGCTGGGTTCCCGTACAGTAGGGCCTGACACAGTGGGGCCTGGGAGTGCATCCTTGGTTCTTGCACAAGGTGTAGAACAGGGTGGGGGGAACTGGATCTTATCTCTCCCACTCTGCACAGGTAAACCCACCTGTCATCCACCTGGCAGCATGATGAAGCTTGTGAACTGCCCTGAGATCTTGTGGTGGAGGGGGTTATGTAAATCAAACAAACAAACAAAAACAAGCAAGCAAACAAGCTGCCTGGCAGTGAGCAAGACACTTTGAAGATATGCTTTGAGGCACACCTTTAAAGAGACTTGCTGTAGCCCCCAATCAGTCTTGGGAGTCTCTGCAGAAAAGGAGACCCCCCTAAACAGAAAGAGGTTTGGATTCCAAGCACTTCCTCCAGCACTTTGCATCCAAGTTGCTTGGCTGTGCTGGTGCAACTAAGGCCAGCTGATTGTTGGCCACAGAGCCATCACTGGCCATCAGCTGGTCAGCAGTGCTTGCAAGTCAACACTTCAAAGCATCTCTAGCAAATGCACACAGGCACCCGTAAAGTGTATCTTACAAGGCCCAGGACTATATTGTGAAGTGAGGGAGTTCCATTCATGGCAATTGCAGACTCTCAGCCTCCAGGTCTTGGCACGGAGTGATGACTTCATTGCACCGGTGACCCAACCACAATACATTTCCTATCTAATTCAGAGGCTGGATGGTGCCATGTCTAGTTAGATACAGAACTGCAAAGGGCTCTTCCCTGCCAGTGTCCAAACCCTGATATTTACTGTGGATACAAGTCTGCTGTTACAGCTACTTGCTTGCAACTCTTTGACTGTGCCACTCCTGATCTCCGCCCATTAACTTTGTGCTGCAAACTGCCCTGTGATCTTTGGATGAAGGGCCGTATACAAATTTATTAAATTATAGTAATTAATAAATAAGCACATGAACAGCAGAATCCCTAAGACTCAGATGCTCCAATGCCAGCCTCCAGCCCTGGGCACCTGGATGTTTCACTCACCTGCCTTTTAGTTGTTTGACTGCATAACACTATAATCCCAACAGAGCAGTCGCTTCAAGTTAATGAAGGGTCTGCAATAAATTGATAGAACAAAGCAGCCACGATTTTTTAAAAATGCCATTTAATCATAATCCGGGCCTTATAACTTTATAGGCTTAACCCTCTGATTAAACCCTACAGCCATAAGCAAACCAAGAAACAAAAGCTCTTAAAAACAGATCCTTACCTATTACTTTTCCTAGGAAAAGTGACTTCAGTGAGTGGAACTGGAGGCTTGATGCTGCTGGCAGGGTGTAGGTGACGGCAGGGTAGAGGTCCAGCTGGAAAAAGACAAAAGCAAAGAAGCCAGGCTTTGAGAAGGCTGCCACCCAGCCGGGTCTTCCTGGAGGAGGTTACCCTCACTAAGCCGACACTTCTGCTTGGGGCTGCTGGCTTCACCCTGATAAGCAGGACATTCCAGCAGCAGCAGCAGCCGCCGCCGTGAGAGCCAGGGTCAAGCCTCAGTGGGGAAGAGAAATAGCCAAAACATGGTGCTGCTATCAGTCTCCCATCCACTCCCGTTCACAGGCTCACGTCTTTTGGTTTGCTGAACTGTCTGCTTTAGAAATGAAGGACATTTATCCTTTTATGTTTATCTATCAGATTTCTGTTCAGGGTTGAACACATTGTAAAGTGAGACAATTCATATTTCATGTAATAAAATCAAATAGCAAAGCACCAAACTCTGTTATTGTTGAAAAACCAGATTTCAGATTTTGAGTTTCAATTCAAATTACACACCCAATTCTGACTTTTGTCTACAAACAAAACCAGAACTCCAAACACATTTTGAGATCATTTGCTCATGTCAGAATCTGACATACTTGAATACATGAAATCTGCTGAATTCTGAATTATGATTGCTTTCATCATTAATTTCTTAATTAATTAACAGTACAACAATTGAAAATAATAGAGCAGAAGGAATACATCTATTAATAGCCAAGGTCTGGCTCAGTGTTGTAACTCAAACCTAGTGCTATGAGTTTGGGGGCAGGAATGTTGGACCCCTCTAACCCCTGGGATCCAGCAAGGGTTAAAAGGTGGGAGGGGTATAAATAATAAAATTGTTGTTGTTGTTGTTGTTGTTGTTGTTGTTGTTGTTGTTGTTATAGCTTCCAGGTGAGGTGATGGGGGATTAAAGGGCTCAGTGACATTCGTCAAATGGGTGGTGCCCCCTCCCTCCACAGAAAAGCCAGCTGAGAGCAGCGATGGGGCAGTGAGGTGACTTAGAAGTAAAGAAGCAAGTTGGAGAGAGCCAGAGCAATGTTTGAGAGCAACGTTTAATTTCTGTTTGAATCCAAGGCTGCAGCTATGGAAGAAAAAAGACCCTGTGGGGGGTTAATGCTGCGAACCCCTCCATCACAGTTTCAGGTGTAAATAAGGCATATATTACAAAGACCCCACCAGAGTCTCTGCTGGGCCTCATTTCCAAAAGGACACAAACTCTGAGCACGCCTGGGACCTCTGGAACCTAATGCCATGTGGATCTTGGCGTGGCAACAATCTCCTTCTTTTGGGAGAAAGCTACATTTGGGCGTTCAGAGAAAGAGAGTAAATTTCAACGCCCCCCTGTGTTGATGTGTGTTAGGAGGGCTTCCGCAATTCCTTACTAATTTTCCTGAGTGATGCTGACAGAAAAGGAGCTGCATTTTCACCCTCCCTTTCAAAGCTGACATAGAAAGCTACACCATCTTTTCTGCTCAGCATTGCAATGTTCAGGACAACCCTGGGCTAGACACTTGCCAGGTGAGGAGAAAAGACTGGTGCCCCCGTCTAAACAGAAAAGCCAGATGGATACAAACAGGGAAGTGGAAAGGGAATAAGCAAGCAGGCAAAGAGAGCGAGGGAGAAAGGAGCGGAGGGGAACTGAGCCCAGATTCCCTAAGAGGAACTAGAATATTAATGTCTCTGAGGCTGGTTTAAAGTGGCCAACCATCTGAGGTCATAACCAAAAGAAAAAGGTTGTGCTTCCTTTTCTTTCTTTAGAAAACATGAGGCTTAGGGAGCAAATGCGGACATCGGCCTGGTCACATGAAAGCAGGTAGCAACCCCCATTCTCCCAGTTCAAGGGTGAAAAACCGGCAGCTGTGCCAGAGTGAAACCCGTGGTGTCCGATACCAAAACAAAAGAGGGAAACTGATGAGCACTGGGCATCTTCTGCGTCAGTCTTGTCAGAATTCCTGCAGCTGAGCAATATTATTGGGGGACATAGCAATAGGTGTGAATATTTTCAGGCTGAATAAAAAGCAGGAGGAAATCAGAAGAATGACAACTTCAAAGTTGTTGAGATTGTTACTATTTGTATACCATGGTGTAGGGCAGCCGATAGTAAGAGATGCTGCTGGTCAGGGACGTGTTCTTATAAATGGGAAAATATCTACTAGATTTAAAAGAATTCGTACTTCATAGCACCAGCAAGCAGGGGATATAGATATATACAGTCACAGGAAGAAGAAAGTGCCCCCTCTTTGAATTAGAATCATAGAATCATAGAGTTGGAAGAGACCACAAGGGCCATCGAGTCCAACCCCCTGCCAAGCAGGAAACACCACCAGAGCACTCCTGACATATGGTTGTCAAGCCTCTGCTTAAAGACCTCCAAAGAAGGAGACTCCACCACACTCCTTGGCAGCAAATTCCACTGTCAAACAGCTCTTACTGTCAGGAAGTTCTTCCTAATGTTTAGGTGGAATCTTCTTTCTTGTAGTTTGGATCCATTGCTCCGTGTCCGCTTCTCTGGAGCAGCAGAAAACAACCTTTCTCTCTCCTCTATGTGACATCCTTTTATATATTTGAACATGGCTATCATATCACTCCTTAACCTCCTCTTCTCCAGGCTAAACATGCCCAGCTCCCTTAGCCATTCCTCATAAGGCATCGTTTCCAGGCCTTTGACCATTTTGACCATTTTGGTTGCCCTCCTATGTGGTTTTACATATGTGGTTTTACATATGAAGACATAAGAACAATCATCTGTTCCTTAGCAGGTCTTAAAATTAGGTAACACAACCTCAGATGAACAACAACACACGACATATTACACTGTCTCATGATTTATTTAGCAGAAATAAAGCCAAAATGGAGAAATTGTGTGTGAAAAACTAAGTACACCCTTACTGCTTCCATAGGAATTAAGAGGCTAAGTAGCAGGCAGGGGCTGCTAATCAAATGCCCTTGCTTAATTGATCATCAGCAAGTGTGCCCACCTTTATAAGAGCCAAAGCTTTGGCAGTTTGCTGGTCTGGAGCATTCAGATGTGTTTTAACACAATGCCAAAGAAGAAAGACAACACAAGGCTCTTAGAGAAGCAAGCGCTGCTGTCCATGAAACTGGGAAGGGTTCTAAGGCCATCTCCAACCAATTTTATGTCCATCATTCAGTGAGAAAGATTCACTAGGGAACGATTTTTTACTTTTTGAATGCTGTCTAGATTTCTACAACTGATTTAGGGTATTTTTGCACTGCTGAATCAGGAAATGGCATCCGTTTCTCTCCATCAGGTCAGGTTTACTGTAAACTGAATGGTTGGGGGTATTGATAAAGGTAAGTACACGTAAATTGCATGTTGCTTCACCATTTTTCAAACTTCAGGGCTTGAACTTTCTTGGAACTCCTGGAATGCTCAGCGGCAGGGAGGTCTCTCTTCAGAGTCCAACAGTAGTCAGCCATCATGACTGTGGCCCAGCGACCCTGATAGCTGGTCTCCATCTCTTTCATGTCCTGATGGAATTTCTCCCCCTGCTCGTCACTCATTGAATCCAGGTTCTCAGGAAACCAGTCCATATGTGAAAATAGCTAGTGCATCTTGACGCTCATGTTGCAGCCCAGGTTTCTGAAAGCAGTCAGCATGTTGTTGACAAGTTCTGCGTAGTGTCTGGCCTTATTGTTGCTAAGAAAGTTCTTCACTACCAGAACAAATGCCTTCCACGCTTCCAGTTCCACTTCGTTCATTGAGTTTCCGAACTCTGGATCTCTGATGAGCTGACGGATCTGAGGACCGTCAAAGATGCCAGCTTTCAACTTCTCCACGGTCAATCCTGGAAAAGCCTGGCACAAGTAAGTGAAGCAGTCACCATCCTTGTCCAGAGCCTTGGTGAACTGCTTGATAAACCGAGCCTGATGTGCAGCGGTGGGAAGACTATTCTGTCTCTGTCCACCAGAGGGTCGTTGATGACGTTCCTTTTTTTGCAAGGCACCAATTCCTCCCGCACAGGCCAGTCCGTCTTCGTGTAATGCTGAGCACGGTCCCTACTATCCCACATGCACAGAAAACATGGGTACTTGGTGAAGCCAGACTGTTGTCCCAACAAAAAGTTCACCATCTTCAGGTCAACACAAATAAACCACTTATGCTGATCATAACCAATTTTCTCCAGCACATACTTCACTGCTTCATAGTTCTCCTTCAGTGTACTCGAGGGAGCCAGGGGTATAGAGGCAAACTGGTTGCCGTTGTGTAGCAGAACACATTTCAGTGATCGCTTGCTGCTGTCAATGAACAGTCTCCAATCTTTGGGTTCGTACTGTGGCACTCCAAGCTTGAGCAGAAGCTGCGCAATATCTGCACAGTACACCAAGTCCTTCTCTTCCGAGAAAAAATGGAGGTACTCTTGATGCCTGTTGCGGAAGAAGCTGATGTGAGCACTGTCAGAGAGGAGGTTTTTTCCCTTCAATCTGGATGCCAACAGTTCGGCAGAGTCCTTTGACAAGCTGAGGTCGTGAACTAGATCATTCAACTCCTTTTGGGAAAATGGATGTGGAGCATCATCTTCAAGAACCACTTCTTCTTCTTCATGTCCTTCAACACTGGAGGCATCTTTGTCACTAATGTCAGGAAGTTCTCCGAAGATAGGCACTGGAATTTCATCACAATGAGCTACAGGACGACGTGCTGATTGAAGATCAGGATACTTGAGGCTGCTCCGGTTCTTTCTGTTGATCCCAGCTGCACCAATTTATGGAAGATTTCGAGGTTTTATGACTTCAAACTGATCCCTTTTCGACATAATCACCCAGAACTATCGGACCTGAATACTTCTTGTCATTAAAATAATCATTTCCAATCAAAACAATTATTCAACATGGCATTTTACCCCCACCAACTTCTTCTAAAATGCTCCACACAAGTGTACATGTGAACAAAAACGTAAAAAAATACATGTGCCATAGCTCAAAAACTTGACCTGATTGAGCAAAACCAATGTGATTTTTGGATTCAGCGCATCAGATTCGTCCTAAATCAACTGAAAAAACGCAGACAACAAATTTGCTGTTGACCAGTGTTATTTAAAAGTGGAAAACATTTAAGACAGTTGTCAATCTTCTCAGGAGTGGACGTCTCAGCAAATTCACCCCGAGGTCAGACTGTGCAACATTCAGATAAATTGCAGGAAACCCAAGAGTTACATCTCAGGCTCCTCAGGCCTCAGTTAGCATATTAAATGTTAAGTTTCATGACAGTACAATTAGAAAAAGACAAAACAAGTATGGTTTGTTTGGAAGGGTTTCCAGGAGAAAGCCTCATCTCTCTGAAAAAGAACATGGCAGCACGGCTTTGGTTTGCAAAGTTGCATCTGAACAAAACACAAGACTTCTGGAGCAATGTTCTTTGGACAGATGAGACCAAAGTGGAGATGTTTGGCCATAATGCACAGCACCACATTTGGCAAAAACCAAACCTATGCCAACTGTCAAGCATGGTGGTGATGATTTGGGCTTGTTTTGCAGCCACAGGGCACCTGGGAACCTTGCAGTCACTGAGTCGACAAGAACTCCTCTGTACACCAAAGTATTCTAATGTGAGGCCATCTGCCCGAAAGCTGAGGCTTGGCCGAAACTGGGTCATGCCACAGGTCAAGGATCCCAAGCACACCAGCAAATTTACAACAGAAAAGAAGCAAGGGGTTGCAATGGCCCAGTCAAAGTCCAGACCTCAACCCAACGGAAATGCTGTACGGGACCTTAAGAGAGCTGTGCATAATGAACTGAAGCAATGCTGTAAAGAAGAATGGGCCAAAATTCCTCCACAATGATGTGAGAGATGCATAAAGTCCTACACAAAACTATTACTTCATGTTATTACTGCTAAAGGTGGTTCTACAAGCTATTGAATCATAAGGTGTAAAAGCTACAGATGAAGTTGATGGACTACATGGAACTGGCAGAAATGACTGGCAGAATCCGAGACCAGGGAGAAGAGTCGGTGGAAGAAGACTGGAAAAAGTTTAAAGATTATTTACAGAAATATTGTAAAATTAATGAATGTTAGAAAAATGTTGAAATGAAGTTATATGGCTTTAGTAGAAATATTATAAGGAATTAAAGTACAGATAGGTTAATAGAATATTAAAGGAAAAAAATAAGGTTAGAATGAGTTAAGATAATTATAGGATAGAAAACAGAGGAGGATGGAAAGGAATTGCTGAAATAATTAACAGAAGTGGAATACAAAAAGGGAGGTGTGAGGAGGTCGTGGAAATAAGTGAATGAAAGAAGGGATAATGAAATTGGAGGATTTATCTTATTGTCTTAGTCTTGTTTTGTTAATTTGATGTCTTGTATTGTATTGTTTTTCTTTTTCTTCTTTTCTTTTTTCTTTTAGTGTTTTTGGAAAAATAATATTATTTTTTTTAAAAAAAACATAAGGTGTACTTAGTTTTTCACACATGGCTCTTCCATTTTGGCTTTATTTCTGCTAAATAAATCATGACACAGTTCAATATATCATGTGCTGTTGTTCATGAGGATGTATTTACCTAATTCTAAGGCCTGCTCAGGAACAGATGATCGTTATTCATATGTAAAACCACAGAGTTCAAAGAGGGTGCACTTAGAATCATAGAATCATAGAATCATAGAGTTGGAAGAGACCACAAGGGCCATCGAGTCCAACCCCCTGCCAAGCAGGAAACACCATCAGAGCACTCCTGACATATGGTTGTCAAGCCTCTGCTTAAAGACCTCCAAAGAAGGAGACTCCACCACACTCCTTGGCAGCAAATTCCACTTCTTTTTTCCAGAAAAAGTTCTGGCAACTTCCCTTTTCTAGAGAGTATGTATCTTTTGGCAAGTGTATGTTCCTTCGCAAGTATCCCTGAACGAAGTGAACGCAGTGGATGTAGCCTACCTTGATTTCAGCAAGGCATTTGACAAGGTGCCTCATGATATTCTTGTAAAGAAGCTGGTAAAATGTGGTCTTGACTATGCTACCACTCAGTGGATTTGTAACTGGCTGACTGACCGAACCCAAAGGGTGCTCATCAATGGTTCCTCTTCATCCTGGAGAAGAGTGACTAGTGGGGTGCCACAGGGTTCTGTCTTGGGCCCGGTCTTATTCAACATCTTTATCAACGACTTGGATGATGGACTCAAGGGCATCCTGATCAAATTTGCAGATGACACCAAACTGGGAGGGGTGGCTAACACCCCAGAGGACAGGATCACACTTCAAAACGACCTTGACAGATTAGAGAACTGGGCCAAAACAAACAAGATGAATTTTAACAGGGAGAAATGTAAAGTATTGCACTTGGGCAAAAAAATGAGAGGCACAGTTACAAGATGGGGGACACCTGGCTTGAGAGCAGTACATGTGAAAAGGATCTAGGAGTCTTGGTTGACCACAAACTTGACATGAGCCAACGGTGTGACGCGGCAGCTAAGAAAAGCCAATGCAATTCTGGGCTGCATCAATAGGAGTATAGCATCTAGATCAAGGGAAGTAATAGTGCCACTGTATTCTGCTCTGGTCAGACCTCACCTGGAGTACTGTGTCCAGTTCTGGGCACCACAGTTCAAGAAGGACACTGACCAACTGGAACGTGTCCAGAGGAGGGCAACCAAAATGGTCAAAGGCCTGGAAACGATGCCTTATGAGGAACGGCTAAGGGAGCTGGGCATGTTTAGCCTGGAGAAGAGGAGGTTAAGGGGTGATATGATAGCCATGTTCAAATATAGAAAAGGATGTCACATAGAGGAGGGAGAAAGGTTGTTTTCTGCTGCTCCAGAGAAGCAGACACGGAGCAATGGATCCAAACTACAAGAAAGAAGATTCCACCTAAACATTAGGAAGAACTTCCTGACAGTAAGAGCTGTTTGACAGTGGAATTGGCTGCCAAGGAGTGTGGTGGAGTCTCCTTCTTTGGAGGTCTTTAAGCAGAGGCTTGACAACCATATGTCAGGAGTGCTCTGATGGTGTTTCCTGCTTGGCAGGGGGTTGGACTCGATGGCCCTTGTGGTCTCTTCCAACTCTATGATTCTATGATTCTATTCTATGATTCTATGATTCTATGAATTGCAGCATCCCACCCTCCATGATTAATATCTATTTCATGAATCCAATAATTTGGTGCCTCAGTGAGAAATGCCCTTTACACTCAAATACCCCGGGAATGTGGGGCACATATTGTTATGTACTGAAGTTCTCACCCTGGGCCAGCAGGGGGATACTGTATAGTTTTCACTCATGTCCACATATGCAAATAAGGGATTGAAAGTGATGTTCAGTGATTGGATAGTTACAGAAAGTGTTACAGTTGTGTTCTAGTGGAGCTCTATATAAGCAGGCTGGCTGAACCCTTCAGTTCACTTCTGTTCTGGCCTGTGAATAAACAAGAGCTGTTTGAAGAATCGCTGTGTCGTCTGATATGTTCACCCACAACTTAACACACATGGTGATTCTTTATCCTCAAATAGGTATTGCGGGTGTCCAGAAATCAATAATGGCTGACTAATTTCTGATAACTAGCTACCAATAATAATATAATATGTGGGAATAAGGAAAACAGGAGAAGAGCCTTTCAAAAAGTTATGATGTGCTGCCATCTAGTGGTTATCAGGGAGTGAGACATTAAGAGTTGAAATATCTTGTGGTAAAAAGACGCTCCAACATTTCTCCGATGAAAATAGGGACGACATCTTCTTCTTCTTCTTCTTCTTCTTCTTCTTCTTCTTCTTCTTCTTCTTCCCACCCCACCCACCTGACTGGCTTGCCCAGTCAGCTTCCAACATATATAAAAACATAATAAAATATCCAGGGCTGCCTTCTAAAGGTTGTAAAGGTCAAGGCCAAGGTACCCCTGACCATTAGGTTGAGTCGCAGATGACTCTGGGGTTGCGGCACTCATCTCGCTTTATTGGCTGAGGATGCTGGCGTTTGTCCGCAGACAACTTCCGGGTCATGTGGCCAGAAGGACTAAGCCGCTTCTGGTGAACCAGAGCAGCACACGGAATCACCGTTTACCTTCCCGCCGGAGCTGTACCTATTTATCTACTTGTACTTTGACGTGCTTTCGGACTGCTAGGTGGGCAGGATTGAAAGGTTGTAGAGTCACTTATCTCCTTGGCTCAGGGGTCGCATAACTGCAGACCCTCCAAAATTTCACTGATGGAAATAGGGGCGTCCTAAGGAAAAGTGGGATATTCTGGGATCAAATCAGAAAGTGGGACAGCTTCTGTAAATCCTGGACTGTCCCTGGAAAACACTTGGAGTTTCTGCATTAATAATAATACTTGTATTGTACTTAAAACTTTCTAAGTGTTATACAGATATTAAAAGATAAGGCAAACCTTGTCCACAGGCTCACAATGTACCATCCTTCATCAAAAGGTGAAGGACAAAAGGAATATATTTTGAAGATGTGTAAGTTGCAAAAGAATATTTTGTTTTAGTAAAATCACCATTATTAGTAAGAAAAACAATCAGCCAATGAATATATATTCAAGTACAGTCTTTTTTAAAAAAAGAAAGAAAGCAGGATTGCTCCTTTTTCGCATCAGCCCCTATGAAGGCAGAGTGATCCTGCTGAATTTGAGCGCCAGCTCAGTACTAAGCAGAATGGTTCCCTCTGATCAGGAAAGGGGGTGAGACTTCTTTGCACCAGGTTCAGGAGAAAAATTGGATGCACCAGGGATCTCTGTGGCACGCCTGGAATTCAGTGCTGAAAAGGGAGGAGGGAGAAACCCCTTCTCTCAGAGTCCGATCTTGCTGGAAGGGGAGAGAAAAGGAGGGCTCCCAGTTGTTCAGAACTTAGAGGGGACCTCAGCAGCCCAGGGAGGCCAGACAAGCACAACCAACGGCCAGGTCTCTCTCCCTGCGCAGATCTTCTCCCTTCATGCCAAATACTGAAGACTAACATTCATGAGGCTGAACAGTTCTGGTCCTTGCTTGACAACAGAAAAGCTCAGGGACAATTAAAAATTAAATAAAACCAAGCAAATAAAACAGAACACTATACAGGAAGTGCAAAACAACAACTAAAGTCTTTTTTAAAAAAGGTTACAGTTATAGTCCCATGTCCTAAACAAAAGTTCTGTTTCTAAGCAAAGTGTGTGCATGTGCACTCCTAGGTTTTTGCAAGGCTTTTCTGTCTTTAATATTCATTCATCATGATGTAATTATAAATGTAGGTCAACTCCTACAAAAGCCTTTGCCGACTATTTGATTGGAGTCGAATACTGCCTACTGCCCCCTTTTCAAGAAAAAAACCTACTCAGTGCCCCCCTGGAAATCTCCCTTCTTTAAGCAAACAAACAGTCCGATCCGCCCCAAGGGAGGGGCCGGTGCCACAGCCCACCTGCCCTTGGCCAAAGAGGCAGGCAAGCTGCAAAAAGGGTTTCCTCAAGCCTGGGAAAAGCCCTCATCTCCAGGGGAGGCGCTGTCACTGTCCCACAATGGCACCCAACCGGATGGTAAGCATCATTACACAACAGATGAAATATGTACAGTTTTCAATAATGTTCTTCTCTTCTTTCTTTATGCTTCCCCCACCCCTTTATTTTTATTCAATGCCGCCCCCCAATTGCACCCTAGCCTAGACTGCTACCGCCCCCCAGGATCATTCCAACGCCCCCAGGGGGCAGCATCGCCCACTTTGGGAAACCCTGTTCAACCCCCTTTCTCTCTCTGACCAAAGGAGGAATGAGCATCCCATCTGTGTTTGATGCCTGGCTGGCTTAGATTCCTCCACCTTCTGCCTGCATTCCATTTGCAAATTCCACATTCTTAGTATTAATGTTATCAATGACCCCATAACAGCACATTTACCTGGAGACTGATAAACCTTCCTTGCCGTGTTATGTTAACGCTGTGTGGTTGTCCATTTGACACGTTCCTGTGATCTACATTAATATTATACGGCTCTTTAGTGCTTCCAAGGTTGTATCGAATCTGCAAGTTTCCTACAGAAAATAACATTCAACTATTCAGTTATTGTTATCTGTTTTCTAGAACTTTTTCTATAAAAATTGCAACTTTTTAGTTTTTACATCCAGTCATTGTGATGTGGGGGTTATGTTCTGAGGCACAATACATGTCGGTGAAATCACGTATAATTGAAACCCACTGAAAAACCCTGCAAATACCCCGTTCCACCCTACCCCACCCCCATTCTGCCCTTTTAGTGACATTTCAGTGACCTCTTTATGATGTTTCTGGGTCCAGGGCAATGTGTGATTGTAATGATTTGAGGTCCGAAGGCCATTTCACACATTCCACAGAAGCAAGCTCAGGTTTGCCACAGCACTGTCCTCAGCCATGGTTTCCCGAGGGTTTGTTCCCGTGTGACATGCTTCAAAGCAGAACTTGCACACGGTACAAGGGGAGTTGTAGGTAAGACGATGGGGCCAACATCTCAACAATAAAGCAGCTACAACTCTCTGCTATCCCCAAACTGGCAAGGATTATGACTGCAATAGTACAGAACTCACAATCTGAGTCTTTAAAGCAAAGTGTGTTCTGGGAAGAAGAAAGGGGAGAAGAAAGACTGGGATCCATATTGGGCAGGCTGGCTGAAGGCTGGCTGGGTGAGATGCCTTGGACTCCATGGTTGCACAGCTGTGCAGGTCAAGCCCCTCTTGAGATGAACATGCTGCAAGGTCTGGACTCCCCCCATGCAGGCTGACACACCCTGTTTCTTAAAGCTACAACAGTCTCCGTTTTGTCTCAATTCTCCAAAGGGACACTGTCACCCTGGGTGAGTGCCTGGAACCCCATGGGTTTTTGCTGCCGCTCAGCAGAGAGAGGAGCAAGCACCCAACTTTTGTAACAGTATAATAAACACATAAGGAGAGGAATTTTCACATAAGGAGAGCAAAGACAAAGCACTTACCAGAGGGATTCACCAGCACAGCCATGTAGTCCTGGGAGTAAGAACTGACATACAGGAGGATACAGGGGGCTTTGTTAGTGCTGAAGCTAAAGCTCAGCTCTTCTTTCTTCAGGCTGTGGTCTGACACAACGTTCTCTGTTTCCTTTGAGCTCAAGAGAGTTCTGCTACCTAAGTCCTTCACGTTATTCCCCACAGATGAAAAATTATACCGGAGCCACATTCCTTCTTCAAAAAAAGCGCCCACGTCTGGAGAAGGGGAAAGAGAAAAAGGAAGTTACAGTACTATGACATATCTGGATGGACACACACTATAATTATCGTAATCTTATCATCAGCTCATCTCTCAATTTACTAGAACAATGGGCCAGTCTGGACAGATGTGATGGATGGGCAAGCAAATGCCCAGTAAAGAAACTGCTGAGAATGGGGTAACACCTGGAAACGATTTTAATGAAGCAATTTCACAAGACTTTGTTAAATCTAACACTAGCAAGTATTGCACTTTGTTGCTTTCCCAAAAAATGAATTAATGTGTTTAGAAGTGTCCCTGGTGCAATCACATAAAACATCAGTCCATCCTTTCTTTTCAGAGCTCTCTGTGATAGATTTATATCTGTCATTCCACCATAAATCTCCTCCAAAATACTAACATGAAAAGCAATTCCATTTTACACCTTCCTTTTTTGTTAGATCCAATTTCATCCCTTTTGCTTGATAATGAAAATCTAAAACCTACATGCGGACACTACCAACCGTGAGCCACACTACTTTGGGTTTGACCCACTTTATGGTTCAACAGCATTTTGCCCACAAAATGGCGCTTCTAAGGGCATGACTGGCATGCAGATGACTGCTTCCATCCACAGACGTTTCAAGTGCTTTTTCAGAGGCCATGATAGAAGACTCCAGGGTTGTGTGAAGAGGTCTTAGTCAACTGCTTGAAATGAGTAAGGGCATCAATAAAAAAGTTTGGGTTCATGTGTTGGAGTGAGGTATTCCCTGGGGCTATCAATCTGTGGTGGGTATTTCTGTAATCAAATGTCTACCTTTTAACCAGTTAATCAATTAATCATCAAAACCTTTAAAAGTGTAGGGGACTTGTAGGTTTCAAAAATCTCGGCTTGCAGCTGTCGCCCCTAAAGCTTCACAGGGACATTCCGAATGTGTAGATTGGCTCTGAGTGTCATGATGACCCCAAAGTCCAGCCGCGATCCCGACACACACGCAGCGCACCCCCCTGACTTACCTGCGGGCTCTGCTTTACCAGGGCAGACCACGTGGGCGGCCCTCAAGAGAAGTCATTCCTATCACTTGATGCACGTCCAAGTCTTTTCCTGGCTAATTTTATAACTCCCTTTCTCTCCTATTCAATTTAGTTCTTTATCCCATCTCATTATAAACCTCCAGTTCTTGTTGTTGGGCAGTGAAAGGAGATGCTGCTGGTGCACTTCTTCCTGTTATATCCATGTGAATTAAGACACCTTTTTCAATGGTTTTGGGAGTTTTATAAATAGTGATGATGGTTTTGGATAGCGATGCTGGACATTAATTAAGCAGCCTATATCTTAGCACAAGCTGCAAATATTCTTTCTTCCAGGACCATTACAAAATGTAGACCTTTTCCAGCATTTGTAAGCAACTCTTAGGTTTCCATATATTTTCATTGCAATTTCGGGACATACAAAAATGGCAAAATTATACTCCTATTCATCTAGAAGCGAGGCAAAGGAGTCTTGCAACAGGGTCCTATTTGGATTAGGATGAATTTTGATGATAGACACCTGGTCTTTTCTTTATCTGCTCCTAAGAGCCCCGCTGGATGCGACCGAAGGCCTACCTAGTCACAGTGACCAAACAGGCTCCCGTGGGAAACCTGCAAGCGGGACCAGGAGCAGCAGCAGCAGCAGCAACAACACTTTTCTGCTCAGGAGTTGCTAAGGATGGCTGCAGTCCTAACCCCACAAGACTTGCTTCTGAGTAAGACACAGCTAGGATTGTGATGAAATACAATTTATAGCTCCCCTTTCTATCAATTCTTCAAGGCAGTTTACACTGCCAAGGCCATCATAACTGAGATGCCCAGAGCACAGTGGAGCCCAAAAAGTCAGCGAGAGCATGAAAGCTGTGAGGAGGGAGCTCTGCAAAAGCTGCTGCAGTCAAACGCTTTCCCCTGCTCTTTTGCCCAGTGGCCAAATCCTCTCTCGTCTCTTATGTGAAGATGGAGAGGGACATCTTCCTCACCTCAGAGAGTCTGTTCCTATATAAAAACAAGCCCATTGATTTCAGGATATGTCCCCCAGCCCCTCTGCTTAGGCAGCAAGCTAATAAGAATGCCAAAATGAATACAAACTGGTTCAGCCCTCAGAAATGCCATTAAGTGCTGCTGGGCGGCTTCCACAAAGAAGGGGAAACATACGTAAACTAAGGGCAAAATGAGGTCAGCAAAGCAATCTCTGGGACTGCAGACTCATTTCAGCCGCTCCTCATAACAATTTCTCAGATCAGTGAAAGAACAATTGCAGCTGATTACACCCCCCACCCGAAAAAGCTCCTAATAGAAAGAAATGTCAAACTCCATTTTGACAGCTATGTCCTTGGCCAGCTGCTGCAAATCTACGGCACCTGAAGTGTCACTCATACGCGAGATCGGGCCCTCCAAAGACGGGAAGCGGTGCAATTTCACACCAGCCATCAATCAGGAATTCCAAGCATGAATTTCATCAATAAAAATATTCCCATAATGTGTGGCCCACGCTCACCCTGAGAAGTGCTTGCTAGTTATAAACCAATCTAGGCTGGTCCTCAGTGCCAGCAGCATTTATTTGCTTAGATTCTTTTCTATCATTCCTATTTACCGGTCCTGTAAATGCATTGAAATTGAAAGTCACTGTTGTGTAAGATAAAGAAGGATCTATTTTCACTACTGGAATATGTGCAGTTTCTTGTCTCCTAGCCAGACTGAACGAGGCTCTGTGCATGTAAAGCAATGTTCATAGAATCATAGAATCATAGAGTTGGAAGAGACCACAAGGGCCATCGAGTCCAACCCCCTGCCAAGCAGGAAACACCACCAGAGCACTCCTGACATATGGTCAGGACAAATAACTCCCCCCACACAAAAAAAACCTAGGTCTCCCCCAACAAACGTTTGAGACTAGCTCCCCTAAATCTAAAAGATGGATCAAACTGCACGCGCCGCTGCCCTGCAAGCTCTGATAAGCTCCTCCCACAGCTATTCACCTGCCTCAACAGAAACCCTGCCCCCTCTGACCTTTGCACAGGGAGAGCAGCTAATCAGCCACAAAGAAACTCACACACACAAGAAAACCCTTTTTGCTCCTTCTTCAACTGCTGCCTATGGCACCCACAAGGCACACGTCTTCCTCCTTGGAGCCTGCCAGAGGGCTGCATTTCAGACATCAGAGTTAGCGAACACCTGTGACGTCCATAGCCCCAAACCATGGAGTAACCTCCTGGGTTTTCAGTGAGTTAATGAATGTGCCATTGGGCCAATACATGCTGGACTTCAGATATTGACCCCTATGCAAATATGACACACAATGTGCTGGTGTCTGGATGGTGTGGAGGTGGGAAAGACTGGCTGGGCAGGCATGTTCCTGCTCCTCCCCCGAGGGTGACCACTTATGCACCCCTCAAAAATAGGAATGCTTTGCCAAAAGAGAGGACAACGACATGCACAACATTTGCACACCCTAATTAATATGTATAGATTCAAATTTAGAAACAATTGCTATAGTTTAAAGAAATCTCATGTAGCTCGCCATAGTGGGGAAGACTCTGACCAGGTGACCTGTGTCTGCTGCCCAGGTGGGGACTATTGCTGGACAATTTCAAGAGCCCTGCTCCCCCTTCTTGGACTTCCTTCTTTTTAAACTGAACTGGACTGGACAGTGCTTAAAACAGAGGATGGTCCTCTCTAAATTTAGGACACATGACTGCCCTGTCTCAAGTCTGGTCTGAACGGGCCCCTAGTCTGCTTTGCAAATCAGATCTCAGCACTTTTGCTTTATATGTTCTAGTCCGCTCAGAGTCATCTCCAAGATGTGCCACAGGGTCCCTTAGGAAGCAGGTGCTCCAACATTTCCCTGTGAGTGAGAAGAACTTTTGAGGGGTCTGCTCCTCTCTGTTTTCTTAAATTATCCACAAATTATTGCTCTCCCTTCTTTAGGGTTCTCACTTTCCCATAATCTCTGAAAGTGCCTCTCTACAGTTTGACCTCGCTAAAAGGCCCCACTTCTAAAACTAATTTTTAGATTGCAGCAATCAGTTTTGACAAATTGAATCTGACAAAGTCATTTTTGTCCAGCCTGCTGTACTTATTTTGGGCATCAAACCATGCAACAAATTCAGATCTTTGGAAACACAATATCAGCATATTTCTCACTTTTACACAGAGTAGAAAAACTACACTATAAGGGAGTGTAGCAGCTGCTATTCTATCCCCCATAGGGCTGGGAGAGGAAGAGAGGGCGGGAATTGCTCTGTACTATTTTGCGTCTAGTCAAGGTTACCAATCTCTCAGTTTTATAAATAAACGTATGTAATGTGGCAGAAAGACATAAATGGGGACATGCTAATAATGAGAAGTCACATTGCAGCCCAATGAGCGAATACAATTGTTTAGACCTAAAACATTATTCCTCATGCACATGCAGAAATAGTCTTGGAGAGACTATGAAGGAGCACATGAGGACACAGCATTAGAAGATAAGGACCGAATTAGTATAATACACTTTACCCTTTATTAGGCTAATAATGCATGTGATCCTTCCTCCTCTGTTTCTTTCTTTTTTCTCTCATTTTCTTTTCTTTTTATTTGTCAGCTAGACCTCTGCTATGAGTTTCTGACTAGACTAGGCAGGGAGATGAGTAGGAAGTGGAGGGGAGCTTCCCTGCATTATTTTACTGAGAAAAAAGAAAATGTCGTAACAACTTGGTTGTTACTGCAATTATTTACCATCCCTTAGAGCAAGACACATCAATAGTCCAACAACTGAAGGTGTATTCTCACAGCGCCCCGAGAGCAGCATCCTGCCCGCCTCTGCCTCCCACTCCCACCTCCTCCGCCCTCTCTCCTGCCTCCTCTGCTGCTCACTTGATGCCCCGCACATCTCTCCGCAAGTTCTTGATTCTCCCCTAGCACTGCTGGAAGGTATAGATGAATCCAGGGGCACCACTGGAGGGGCGCTGAGCTCTCTGGGGGCCCTGCATCATTAATTGGCTCAATATTCAGGGGGCCAAGCGCAGAGTCACGGCTTTCATGGCCGGCTGCTGGGCGCAAGATCGACAGGAGCTGCAGAAGGGAGGAGAAGCCAGCTCTCGGGATGCTTAGCATGTGCGTGTGACATCACACACACGCGGGACACCCCCCCATCTGCCCTGTAAGTTGGCACATATGTATGAATCCAGACATCTGGAGAAACCTGCTCTACGCCCCTTCCGGCTTGTACACATTCAGCTGGCTCCAGTCTGTGATGGGGAGGTATTTTTTGTCTAACAAACTATGATCCACAATGTCCATGTGCTACACTCGGAAATGGTGCCATGATCCTATGTAAAATGTTACCTTTTTTGCAGTATGGACCGTCGTATGCTGTCCCAGAGCAATCACAGGAGTAGCCATGGTATTTTTCAACACATTTGCCACCATTCTTGCAGTACATCCCAAAGCTGGTGCAATGTCCTGAGCACCCAGGTTTCACACCAGGGGTGACTTTGGCTCTCTCTTCTAAATCCAGAGTCAAGCCGTTCATTCTTAAAGAGCGAATGCAGCCCAGAAACCCCTTCTGTCCTCCTGCGGCACCTGGGCAAGAATGGAAAATGCTCAGTCGAAAGATGCTCCTTCTAGATGACGAAGAACCGCTTTCACATATTGCACAGGAGGGTCTAAAAGAGAAGAGCCAGGGATTGTTTCCACAGGTCCCCCCCCTCCATGGGCAGACCTCTGAGGAGAGAGGTGTGTGGAGGGACTGGCGACTCTACCAGAAGGCCTTGCCTGGAAACTGGGTTGTGGGAGTGGGGTTGGGGGTAAGGGAAACTAGGTCTGGCCCCCTTACATTCATTCACAAGGAGCCCTTCTGTGAAACTGGTTGTAAGCATGGGAAGGCACACTGACTCCCAGCACTGACAGCTTCCTAAGCAAGTGGATGCCCAGAATGAGTTACAACTATCTCCTGAACCAGTCAACATTACGATCAATTGCTCTTTACTGCTAATCATTCTGAAGGTAGGAGACATGCAATTAAGATAAGCGCCATTCTTGTGCAAATGAATTTAGAGTCCAGCCCTAACAGAGACTTAGCCAAACCAATTTCAAGCTTCCTGTGATAGGAGTGGCACTGTTTTTTTACCCCCAGTTATATGGCTACTAGTAATCCAAATACAGTGGTACCTCAGGTTAAGTACTTAATTCATTCCGGAGGTCTGTACTTAACCTGAAACTGTTCTTAACCTGAAGCACCACTTTAGCTAATGGGGCCTCCTGCTGCTGCCATGCCGCCGGAGCACGATTTCTGTTCTCATCCTGAAGCAAAGTTCTTAACCTGAAGCACTATTTCTGGGTTAGTGGAGTCTGTAACCTGAAGCGTATGTAACCTGAGGTACCGCTGTAGTCCTGAGCTACTGTCAATGGTTATTAAAGTGTTTTGGTAATATTAAACCTTCAAACCTTTATTGAACAAAATGGATAAAATGTAAAAAAGAAACAATTTTCAGACAATAAAAGAAGATGCAAATACAAGATACAACTCTAATATGAGGAAACAGGGAGTTGGGTTTCCCCATTGTCTTTCAAAATGTTCCAGCTTCACAGTTTTGCAGGCCCTAAGAGCCTTTCTTTTGTTAAGTGGGAACAAAGCATGCATCATCTTTGAACATCTGGAAATTAGGCCAAGTAAATCAATTTGGCTCAATAAATCAATTAAAGATAAATTTAAAACACTCATTTACCAACATTACCAACTAATACCTTAACCAGCCCTTCCTTATTTTCCTGCTTCCTATAAGCAACTGCCACTGCAACCCCCAGCCTCTTCGTCCATTCAGCGCACCCCCTTTACCAGGCGACCCCCTTCATTCTCGGCACCCCAGAGTTCTGGATGCAGCACCAGCGCAGACTGGAGGGTGTGTGTGTGTGTTGCCATTGCCCATAAAAATGCAATCTCTCTCATCAGGACTACAGTCCAATCTGGGACTGGATTTGAAGGTTTATTTCCAGAGTTGAAGCTGAGAGACAGAACTAAATGCTGCTGTTGTTCAGCCCATCCCACCACTCAGTGAGCTGATGGAGGTGGTCTTGGAGACGATGCTGGAGAGGCCCTTCCCAGCATTCAGGCCAAGGCGTCTGACCTCTGTGGCAACCATTGGGCTGTCTCACAACATCAAGGCCCCAAGCATGTGGTGGAAAACACTGTCATTCTGGTCTTTGGCTTTTTAAAAAAACCAACGTAAGATGTTATTAAGACTTTTCATAGTAGATTACCAAAAAAAGCAAATTAATCTAAACAGTCCTTTGGTAGCTCAGCCGCCCAGAGCACCCACTTACCAACATAGAGCTGGCTGTAGAGCTCCAGGCGGGTGTGTCCTTCCGTGGGGGCCTTCCGGGTCTCTTTGGGCAGCTGGTCCACCTGCAGGCTGGCCTCCTTGACATTCCGCTCCGCAGTGACCCAATGCCACTGGTCATCATTGAGTGGACTAGGCGACCTCACATGGATCTCCACAGGGCCATTTCCAACATCAAACGAAAAGGAGACATCTGTTGCAGCTGATGAGAAAACGATAATGGTGTTTGGTTTGGGGTTGGGGGGGGGCGGGGGGAAGAAAGAAATTCTGCTTTACATGAATGCTATTGAAACCAACATGGAAACTATACTTTACAATTAACTGTTATATTTAAGTTGCAATAGAGATTTAATTCTAAATTAGAATAAAGAAAACACTTTTTAAAGACCATGGAGTGGTCTCATAAATCAGAAGGGGGACCTTTGGGCCCTTCAGAGGGGGCTGAACTGCCTCAAGAATCCGCCCTAGCAAGCATGGCCAATGGCTAGAGATGATGGGAGAGCCAAAGGGTCTCCTAGATGCAAGCTACATTCAAAGACAGAGAGAACAAAGTAATGAAGGAGGAAGATCATAGAATCATAGAATAGAATCATAGAATCATAGAGTTGGAAGAGACCACAAGGGCCATCGAGTCCAACCCCCTGCCAAGCAGGAAACACCATCAGAGCACTCCTGACATATGGTTGTCAAGCCTCTGCTTAAAGACCTCCAAAGAAGGAGACTCCACCACACTCCTTGGCAGCCAATTCCACTGTCGAACAGCTCTTACTGTCAGGAAGTTCTTCCTAATGTTTAGGTGGAATCTTCTTTCTTGTAGTTTGGATCCATTGCTCCATGTCCGCTTCTCTGGAGCAGCAGAAAACAACCTTTCTCCCTCCTCTATGTGACATCCTTTTCTATATTTGAACATGGCTATCATATCACCCCTTAACCTCCTCTTCTCCAGGCTAAACATGCCCAGCTCCCTTAGCCGTTCCTCATAAGGCATCGTTTCCAGGCCTTTGACCATTTTGGTTGCCCTCCTCTGGACACGTTCCAGTTTGTCAGTATCCTTCTTGAACTGTGGTGCCCAGAACTGGACACAGTACTCCAGGTGAGGTCTGACCAGAGCAGAATACAGTGGCACTATTACTTCCCTTGATCTAGATGCTATACTCCTATTGATGAGGCCCAGAATTGCATTGGCTTTTTAGCTGCCGCGTCACACCGTTGGCTCATGTCAAGTTTGTGGTCAACCAAGACTCCTAGATCCTTTTCACATGTACTGCTCTCAAGCCAGGTGTCCCCCATCTTGTATTTGTGCCTCTCATTTTTTTGCCCAAGTGCAATACTTTACATTTCTCCCTGTTAAAATTCATCTTGTTTGTTTTGGCCCAGTTCTCTAATCTGTCAAGGTCGTTTTGAAGTGTGATCCTGTCCTCTGGGGTGTTACAGATGTAACCTTGTGCAAGGAAGCAATGTGCAATGAAGATCTGTAAAACCAAAATAGGTTTAAAGGTGAAGATAGGGGTGGAAAAATGCTATAAATAAGTCAGAGATTAAAAAACACTATAAACAAATCAAAGATTAAACAAAAGGGGGGGAAACCTATAGAAAATCACTTAGAATTTATTTGCTCTCTGGTGCCATCTGGTGTTACGTGTTTATAACGCATACAAAACACTATTTCTTGACTAATATAGCAGAGTCCTAGGTGTTTGCATAAATTAGCATCCAGCTAGGTATTGTTATCATTGCATATTTATTTTTTACCCTGGCTTTCCGTTTACAGATAAAATTGGAACAGCTAAGAACACAGAGGTTGAATCATTAAAACCAATTAAACATTTATAAAATTAAAATTATATATAAATATAAAAGATTTAACAGTCATGCCAAATGAACCTCATTTCTTTTTTTGATGGACTTCCAAGTTTGGTGGATTGGGGGATGCTGTGGACATAGTGTATCTTGATTTCAGTAAGGCTTTTGACAAAGTCCCCCGTGATATTCTTGCGAAGAAGCTGGTAAAATGTGGGGTGAACGAGGTAACTGCTAGGTGGATTTGTAGCTGCTTGACTGACCGAACCCAAAGAGTACTTGTTAATGGTTCCTCATGGAAAACGTGATAAGTGAGGTGCCACAGAGTTCTGTCCTGGGCCTGTTGCTGTTCAGCATCCTTATAAACGACTTGCATGAAGGAATTGAGGGGATGCTCATCCAATTTGCAGATGACACCATACTGAGAGGGGTAGCTAATGCCACAGAATATGGATCCAGGATTTAAGATGACCTTAACGGATTGGAGAACTGGGCCCAAACCAACAAAATGAATTTCAGCAGGGAAAAATGTCAGGTTCTGCACTTAAGCAGGGAAACCAGATGCACAAATATAAGATGAGGGACACCTGTGAAAAGGATCTAGGGGGTCTTGGTGGACCACAAGCTTAACATGAGCCAACAATGTGATGCAGCAGCAAAAAAGGCTAATGCTCTTCTAGGCTGCATCAATAGAAGCATAGTGCCCAGATCCAGATCAAGGGAAGTCATAGTCCCACTCTATTCTGTCTTAGTCAGACCACACTTGGAATACTGTGTCCAGTTCTGGGCACCACAGTTTTAGAAGGATGTTGACAAGCTGGAACGTGTGCTGAGAAGGGCAACCAAGATTATCAAAGGTCACCTACCATCAATACATAGGAATTGTTCTGTGCATTGTAACTTCCACAGCCACCTTAGTGTATTCTGAGGTCTGCAACTGCTGTCCTGGCTCCTTGGCGTCCAAAGTGAGACCATGGAATCAATTTTGCAGCTCCAGTGACACAGCATGTCTCCTGACAGTCCTGCTTCTGTGTGTGACATTCCTCCAGGGGGTTGTCTCCTGCAATGGGTGATATTCCTTCTCTCTAGAAGCTCCTCCCACATCTCTGTCCCAGGATAGACCACTCTGCTCTAGCAAACCCCCCCTCATTTCCCCCAGTGGCTTGAAACATGGATGGGCAGGCCTCATGTTGCTGTGCCTTCTCCTCCAGCAAGGCAACCAGCCCTGTTTCGAAGCTCCCAGAGGCTGCAATCAGCCACGCAAAGCTTGTTCTAACAAAAGAGTCACCTGCTCCCTATAACTAGCCCCGTCAGCAATCTGGCTGAAGCTCTTGGAGCCTAGGGGTGCCATACGCCTGGGATTTCCCGGGCACAGGCAAGCTTTTAAAAAAGCTCAAGCTGAAGTTTCTGAGCACTTTTGAAAGGCAGCCCCAAGTAGAGTGGATCACAGTAATCCAAACCATGTATCTTTAATTAGTTATTCAGCAATTAAAGGTATGGGGAAGTGCACATCTTACTGGCAGGGTAGGCAGCAGACAGGAAGGGGGCTGATTTCTTTACTCTCTCACCTCAATTGCAAGGCTAGGAGCCTCAGAAAAGAGGCCCCCGTTGGCGCAGATGAGAACTTTTTCTAAGGCTCCTCTAGCTATGCAATCTCTCTCTGAGTGAGCTGTGGATGGGGGTGGTTGGTGAGTGAGTGAGCAGGGAGAGATGCCCCTCTGTCCCCCCCTGCGTGAAATATTGTAAAAAGAAAAGAAAGGTTGGGAGCTTCTGATTTCTCCTTTTAGACTCAGCTTATATAGGCATGTTGTGGGAGAAAAGGCACCCCGATTGGCTGCTGCAGATGCCAAAAATGAGCAGTAGAGAAAATAACTGAAAACAGGAGAGCAGTGGGGATTTGGAAATCAAAAACCAACAACTAAAAATTAACGCCTTATTCTAAGTACTGATTTCAAGTTCATGTCGGATGCCCTTTCCTTCCCATGTTATTAACTGCTTCATTCCCTGTGAAGAGCTCCATAGCAGAGCAGCTGCAGCAGCCACATTGTGCGCACTGCAAAAGCCAGCTTGTCAAAATATGGCCTAAGAAGCCATGAGTACTGAGCATTCAACACTTTCGCAATGCAATCCCGTCCATGTCTCTTCAGAATAGAGCTTTCTCCCATTTATAGGTCTGCAGCCTCAGCAACCAGGCTGTGTTGGATTCCCACTGTTCAGTGGCTGAAAAGATCAAATAAAACTTGCTTTTCTATTTCACATAAAATATCCTGTCCAGTTCCACAGGTGGGGCTCACATTTAGTCAGGCCCTGTTCTACTCTCCTGTTGGCTCCAGAGAGTGAGCAATCATATTTTCTTCATATCTTTAATATCTAATGTATATGTTGGATTCTTACAAACAGGATATGAATATGCAGCAAGGGACTCAAGAATGATGCTCAAGAGAAAAGGCTGTCCACAGAATAACATGTGTGCATTATTACAATATTCTAGAGGCTTTATCAAATGCTTTCCAGAGGCCTATCAAATCTGATCATATAAAACGTGAATCTCCATTGTGTGGGATATATTGCTTCTCGTGTTATTATTCTCCAAGGCAGAGAACTGTAAACTTATTTTTATAAATACCAGTGGTGTTATCAACTCTTTACTATTGATTTTTCTCTTAGACCAAACTCTTTATTGCCTCTGGAAAGTTTTATGAATGTTATTTGCTCTGAACTAACACAACCTCTGTTTAACCTTTCCATGAAACTATAAAAAGTAGATTTTGTGTGTGTGTGTGTGTGTGTGTGTGTGTGTGTGTGTATTCATACTGATATTCAAGAAAGTGTGTTTACACAAAGAAATATTTATTGCATCTACCTATGCTACAACAGCAGCAAGAATACTCATTGCAAAGTATTGGAAGACACAAGATCTACCCACTTTGGAAGAATGGCAGATGAAGATGATGGACTACATGGAATTGGCAGAAATGACTGGCAGAATCCGAGACCAGGGAGAGGAGTCGGTGGAAGAAGATTGGAAGAAATTTAAAGACTATTTACAGAAATATTGTAAAATTAATGAATGTTAGAATGATGACGGATTGAAGTTAAGCGGTTTCTAGGTGTAATGGTATAAAAGAATATGGAAAAATTGGTTTTTAATACGTAAAAATTTTAATGTTATAATATTTCAAGATTAAAGATCAGGATTAAAAAGGAGGGAAAGGAATTGCTGGATTAACAAATTGAATTGGAATACAAAAGAGGGAGGTATGAGGAGGTCTGGGAAACAAGTAAATGTAAGAGAAGTGATGAAAAGATGGAATTGTTTTTAACTGTTTTTTCTTTTTTGTATTTTGTATTTTTCCTTTTTATTGTTAATTTTCTTATTAATGTAATCTTTTTCTTTTGAAATTTTAATAAATATTATTTTTTTAAAAAAGAAATATTTATTGCATCTACCAACTAAATGATCAGCTGCTGGATTAGGCAATAAAAAAATTGGAAAGTCAGTTGGGAAAGCTACGCAACTTAGATCTTACCTCGAAAGAGGCATTCCATTCACATTCATCTCTATAGGGAATGTTAGCCAGGGATGTATTCTCTGAGCTCTCATGAACCACAGCATTCTCCAAGCAGGGAATGAGGGTGGTGGGGACTGGGGAGCACGTGGCCCTTGAGAACTCCAACTCCCATCAGCCCCAGCAAGCATGGTCACTGGTCAGGGATGAGAAGAGTTGCAGTCCAACCACACCTAGAGGGCCACAGGTTTAGGTCCTCGAAATTGTACTTTGCCACACAAGCAGATGCCTGGAAGGGCTACAAAATAAAATCAACACCATCTTAGCTGAAAGGGCTTCCCAGTTAAGGAGCATTGTTGGGGCATTACATAGATCTTTATTAAGATTTCCTGCCAGGGATCAGTTCGGGAGGCGGGCCCACAACTTGGTTCCTACTACCCAAGCAACTTATTTTCATAGATATATTTTCACAGAGGGCATCATCTGTAAAATAAATCCCCAAAACTGAAATTCCACCAAATTTTGCTCTAATATATTAACGTGTTCTGCCTGTCCACATACATGAACCTTATAATATATACACAAAATGAAAGAGCCTCATCAGGAAGGAAACTCTTTGTCTGAAACTGCAAGTTTATCCCTTTGACTTCTGCCAAGAAAACTTTTCTTAATCTGGGAGATGCCGCTCTAGAGCTCATCAGTGGGCACAACTTCTTCATCTTCAATGAGCAATCACACTTCCAAGCAGAAGTAATCCACTCACCATGTGAAGCAACATACTCATGACTCCTGGAGCTGATTTGTATATGCATGCAAATCACTTGATCTCTCTGTCAACAGAAGTCTTGGGCACCTTCCAATAGGACAGCTTATTCTCAGATGCCTTCCCTATCAAAAATGGTGTGAAACAGGGCTGTGTTCTTGCCCCAACCCTCTTTGGCACATTCTTCTCCTTGTTGCTCTCATATGCCTCCAGCTTGACTGAAGATGGTATGTACAAGGAGCAACAGGGGTCTGATCAACCTGACACGTCTCCACGCCAAGACTTCTCTGACAGATGTCATTTGCAGATGACACAGCCGTGACTGCACACTCCAAGGAAGCTCTACAGAGACTCATCAACTGTTTTAGCCAAGCCTGCAGGAGGTTTGGCCTCACCACCAGCCTGATGATGACCAACGTCTTGAGTCAGAACATTGTGAGCCCTCCATGCATCAGCAACGGTGACCACACACTTGTGGTGGTTTGTCTCCCTAGGATCCACCATAACCAGCAACCTCTCTATCAGTGCTGAGCTGGACAAGCATTTTGACCAGGCAGCTACGGCAATGGCTTGCTTCTCCAAAAGGATTTGGAGAATGTGATGTCCAATACCAAGATGAAGGTCTACCAGCCTTGCATGTTGAGCATGCTGCTTTATGGAAGTGAGTCGTGGGCAACTTCCAGCAGTCAGGAGCGATGCCTCAATGCCTTCCACATCACGATCTACGGGTAGATCCCTGTTGGCAGATTGTGGTCGATCACTGTGTCCCTTTCCTTAGCGTTGGTAAAATAGAATGCGGCCCCTCGCCCCACCCCCTATTGTTGCACAATCTGCAGAGCGGAAGACGGAGTTTACTCAGTGAGGCCGTTTGTTTCCCCAGCGATCTGTAGCGGGTAGATCACTGCCAATTTTTACTTTTGTGAGTAGATCACAGTCTCTTGGGAGTTGGCCACCCCTGCCCTAAACCATATTCAGAAAGCAAACGCTCCCCATTGCAGGTTTAGCAACATAGTGCTCTCCTAGAAATATGGGCAAAAGTAATGAAGGAAAGCTGCATTGAGGATTGAGTGCAATGGAGTTGTGTTGTGTTGTTATGTGACTATGTTCCCAGTTACTACTAGACCCTGAGATTGGTTGCTTGGACTAGCAGGGATTAATATGAGGATTATCATAGTCTCCAGACAGTTTACAGATATCACCCCCACCCCCCTTTAGCAGGAGTTTGAGAGAAATACCAGTGGTGTTCTAGCCACTGACATTATGTTATGACAACAGTTACAGAGGCATGTAGGGGCAAGTAGGAAACTGACTAAAAATGGGGGGGACCCTAACTTAGGCTGCAACCCACCCAAACAAAGGAGGCCTCCCCAACCCACATCAGGCTTGCTTGCTAATTCTGAAATTTAGTTTGCCCTAAAACACTGGGGTGTCAAGCAGGAACTGAGATGTTGGACCCAGGTTCAACCTTCCACTTAGTTATGAAGTGTACAGTTATTGGCCCAAGGGCACCTCTCATGGGCTGAACCTACCTTATAGGTTGTTGTGTGGATTAAAGAAGGAAAGGGAAACATATATCTCAAGCCCCTTGATGGGATATAAATGTAATTTAAAATGTGAAGGAATCTCTTAAGATTCATTAGCTGCACTCAAGTTTAAGCACATAACATTCCATGTTGGACTGTAGCCATTAAATTTAAGACAAAACTCATTTCGGAGCAGATGAGGGATACTCAGTCACTTTCTCTTCTGCAACATTGGGTTGAGTTCATTGCTAGCCCTGTTCAGAGGACCTTCATTGAAGTTTATGGAAGTGACTAACATGGGACCATTAATTTCAATGCATCTACTGTGAAAAGAAGTAGGATTGACAGGCTAGTTTTACAGAAGATGCTAGATGCCCAATGCCTTACCTTTGCCTAACATCCCATTAATGCTGTGAAAATACTCACATTTCAGCTCAAGTTTGATGAAGTCTGTATTCCCCAGATTCTCAAGAAACACTCCATCAGCTGCTGATGTTTTGAAGTAGAAAGAAATGTCAGCGCTAGTTTCCCCTTGGAAGGTGGAGAAGTGGAGATA